TCCGACATGTCGGTACTTATTGGACCTTATCACTATGGTAACACTGGTAACAGATAGGGGATGAGTTTCATCCAGTACGGAACAACGGAACATGAGTAATGTGCCAGCAAAAGTACCCCTCGGTGTTCATCGGCAATAAATGTAAATTCAGAATTCACCTCACCTCGTTTAGAAAAAAATTAAAGGGGTGTAGCATGGCAAAAACTGGTTAACGCCATCTATGACTTCTTTTGGACAACTGCACGTAGACGTATGGACTTTAACGGTCAGCGCACTAGCGTTCGCGAAACAGACCGAAGTTCTCCTCACTCTTCGGTTTCGCGTATGTTGCACACACGTGAATGTTGCGGTCACGTCGTCCGTAGTCGTATTATACCCGATTGGTCCCCGAGTCTGGCCGGGGGAAAGACACGAAGTCTCGTCATGCTACACCCCCTTTAAAATATCGTCAAACGGATTTACGTTTATTAATAATAATAATAATAATTATAAATCACGAGGTTTCTCTTTAATAAGGGGTTAGAAATCTCAAAATCATCTAGACCATTTCATATTCATACATTGCCAAATATCCTGATATTATAAACACATAAAGCAAACAATTTTAATGTATTTATTTGTCCAATTTCATTTAACATGGATATTTGGTTTGCTCACATGTAAAATCAAGGCTCAGACAAAATTTACAAGGAACAGAAATTTAATACAAAACATGGATACATTTTGGTGATGACAAAATAATAGTCATACATAATAATGACGCTTGTTTGATTATGGCTTGTTATGTTTGGTGAAACACATGGATTACCTCCAAATAATACATTATTCAATGATTGGCTTAAGTTTAGAGAAGGAGGAATTATGGAAGAACCTAATTAAAAATTTAGCGCCAGGATCACCAGTTAGTCAGAATTATAGATATATGAATTTACATAAGTGTTGTTCTCGATTTCAACTTTATTCCGCAGTTTTTTCTGAAAATGGATTCGGAATTCGCATATTTGTTTGTACTCTTAGTTCAGAAAGTATCAACACAATTAATGACATACATGCATTTTAAAGAAAAGAAGGAACGAAGAGAGAAGATAAAAGAAGAAGATAAAAAGGGGGAGCTTTAGTCTATTAAATAAATATTTTTTTAAACCAAAAGATGTCGCCATGCGTTTTCATCGAGATTATTTTGTAATTATTTTTTAATTCCAAATCAAGTCAATGCATTCAAAAGGAACAACATCACAAACCTATTCTTTTCGTTTCCAAAGCTTTCTCGTTTCTTAAAGGTAATACAAAATTTTGGTATGGGGTCATGAATTTGGTTCAAATGAACATATTGGAAGCATAGGCGATCCCATTCAGTGATCGTTGTCGCGGTTGAAATCGAGTCTAAAGTTATGAAATTGTAAATAATAAACTCTTTATGTTGTATAGCTCCCTCTCAAGGTCAAGATACCAATTTAGCTATAAAACAACGTTTCTTGACTAAAATCGACCGATTAGCTATTCCCGTTTGAAAATTATATATCACATCTACATATTCTGAGATTTTCATGGTCGCAGCTACCATCGTACGACCGTAGTCGCTATTTGAAATTTATCAAAATTTACCGGGAGCACCGGTAAATGTTTATATTAAATTTTTCTCGAAAGCAGAGGTATTTTAGGGGCTAAATTTCTAGTGCTTATAATACATCCACAGGGGCATCCAAATAAATCAAAATTGTAAAGAATCATTATCCACCAAATTTTCAAAATTTCCCAAAACTTTGTATTACCTTTAATGATTAGGTTCAATGTTGGCAATGTATTTTAATTTGTGTAAGGTTTATTTAAATTTAGGTCTGTTATAGAGTACACAGCTTACTTTGCAGAATATTTGATAGGTTTTAAACACTTCAGAAATTTAGGTAGATCTTACGTCGCTATTAGTCCTCTTCAATAAGGGCGCTGATGCTGATGAAAGGTTCAAATAATATCAACAATGGCCCGTCCCGATTAGTGCGATTTTTCAACACCGTAATCAGTTCACATCGACGTCTACACCAAGGTCCTTATTTATTTAGAAGTCAAGACAAAGGGTTATAATGTGTCCACCAACCTTCAAATTATCTCTGCATTTAAATCCTTGAGTTTATCCAGGGTAGCTAATTTTTCCAAATGGAAACAAGTTATTCTTGGACCAGACTAGCCTTTTGCATATTCTGCGGATGATAAAACCAAAACCCTTTGCTCTTTTTTTTGCATTGATAAATTTATGATATATGATAATTTATTTTCAATATTCATGTTATTGCATGTTGCGAACATTTCGAATGATGACGAAATAACCCATATACATTTCACCGATTCACCGAGGCCCGAATTCACAAAGCAAGGTTTGAGCTCAGACCAAGGTTTGAGCTCAAACCTCCTTTTGTTTCGCCAAACCTCCTTTTGTTCTTTACAAACCAGGTTTGTAAAAAACGCGTAAAACGCGTCATATGACGTACGAAAACCAAGGTTTGTCGACAAACCTCCTTTGTGAATTCAGGCCCCCCGAGTGTTTGGCCGGTGGAAGACAAACCCTACTGATTCCTCGTCTATTCTTTATCAAGGTAGCGTGGCCGAGCGGTCTAAGGCGCTGGTTTAAGGCACCAGTCATTTCGATGGCGTGGGTTCGAATCCCACCGCTGCCAATAGCTTTTGCAATTTTGATCATGATCATGTGCATGTGGAAGAGTTATATTACAAAAAGTATATTGGAAAAGGATGGCTCTTCAAATGTCCTCATATTCGAGTTATGAGAAGTAACAGGTAAAGATTGTGGACTACACTTTCATGCCACATGTAATGTGTATTCCCACACGCGCCTTTCCGTGTACGATTCCAAAACCCCACAGTATATACCAATATGCCTAAAAATGTGCTACATGATTAATCTTTTTCAAGTCACTTCCACAGTTTCTCTCACAATGCAATCGCAAGACCAAAGCTCGAACTTATCTTGAAAGGAAGAAAGTAAAACAGTAATAAACTTCATGTAAAACCCTGAACTCATTTAAACTCAATACGAAAAAAGTTTTTCTGTCTAAGTACTTTTGAGAAATCTTTTCACAATGATTTTTTTTTTAAATTCAATATAATTTCCAAATTTCTATATACACCCATCACTATATATCATAACTCCCGTGTACTTATATACGTTTTCTGTGTCAGACATATTCACTTCAAAATATGTTCGTTTTCATCATCGTCATTATCATCAACATTATCGTCATCCCCATCACCATTTTATATATATTTTTCTTTTCATCGACTCTCCCCACCCGGGCTATCACGCTATCAAGCAAGCGCTTACTGTGATAGCCCTTCTTCTACATATTTCGTTATGAATAATTCTTGGTAGAGTGTTATCACTTAAATTTCGTTTTAATTTCAAGATTTTAATTATCATCACATTATGTACACGTTCAAAAATATTGTAATATTTTATATATATTGTATCGTTCTAATGTAATTTGATGTTGCAGAAGAAAATAAATTCAATTTGATGCATGCAATTCAATTCAATTTCTTCTTGACTGATTGATATTAGTGTAAGAATGACTATATCCCCGGCATGCCCGACTTATCACCGTGTACTACTTCACAGGACGCTTACCCCAATGAGAAAACGTATAAGTAGATATTGACGCCGCATGGATATTCCTGCAAAAAAGAATTTAAATTCATTTCACAACGCTTCTGCTCTTAGATGCATTCTCTGAATTCCCCCTTTTCTCACACTCCATAACTCTTTATCACATCATCCTTTATTCCTGTCCTCTGTACTTACTGTACAGAACAGGGCCTGTAGTATTTCTCGTTCTTTTTTATGTAAATTCTTTTGTTCTTTCATCACTGTCCAAATCAGTGATGAAAATTTTCTTAAATTTAAGACCGGGGGTTGTATGTTTTTCGCAATATTATTTGAAATCCCCGCTTTCATCATCATTATTATTGTTATTGTGAATTATGATGTAAGTGCAACTGTCAGTATTTTTATGAAGCTTTACATTTAATAATGTTTCATTCACTTTTATCGTATTTTCATTTTGTTGTCATACTACTATGTCAGATCATAGCTCCAGGTAAATAGATTTGTACAAGAAAAATGTGCGATTGTAATTTTATTCAATTATTATATGGAAAGTGGAGTAGTGTGTTTCAGTGAAAAGAAGGGTTTGTTCTAGATGGTTGCACTTGGAGATACACTTGTTGTAGAAATTGACAGGGTAACAAAAACTGTCATAATCATGATCGCACAACGTTGACGATGGCGTAAATTACACACTATAAACTTCACCACTGTCAATTAAGAGTCGTATATATATAATTTGAGGAGCATTGAAAACAAATCATTGACTGTTCGTGATTGATTTTATTCTTTACGTTTACATATCTCTGCACAACTTCTGAACGCAAATGTTACAAGTTTTGACAAGATCAACAGACGAATAGCGCCATCAATGAGATATTAAGCGGAATGGAGAACGACATACTGGCCATGTTGTCATGGCTGCTGATTACAAACAATGTGATGATCACACCAGCCCTAAACACTGAATTTGCTCTGCTCCAGCCTGTTGCTTAACTGATTTCGCGGTAAACTTCATGCACAGGCTATGTTGTCTACTACCATTAACCTTGACGACGAGTGAATATGTAAGGACTTCTGTACTGTATTGTTCTTAAACTCCGAAGTTAGATGGGTAATAGTATATGTGTAAAGCGCTTAGAGACATTGCATTAAAGCGCTATATAAAAGCTAAATATTATTATTATTATTGTTATTGTTATTGTTATTTAGTGAGAATTAAGAGTAGGAGCGACCTGAGTATATACCTGAGTATAACATATGTGAAGGAAAAAAATCGAGATCAACTACTTCCTATATACCTATTTTAATTTCTACATAATACATATTTTAAACACAAAATAAACACGTTATCGTTATTGTCGTTTCATTGCATGTTTGTTGTGATATAATTATTCTTGTATTATGTTTTGCATGAGAAATAAAATCATTTGAATCAATTTCAATCAATAATCTTAAGTTTTCAATCGTTCTGGTGATAGAAATTTACAATAATTTTCAAATGATGCCGTGTGAAAGTTTAGTGAAAGGGTATTTCTTGTTTAATACTATATAAGAGTTTGTTTTAAGGTATCCAACTAAAACGACAATTGCTTTCCCAGGATAAAGTCATTCCTGATTTTAATAAAAAAAGAAAGGAATACTCATTAATTAAATGACGATAACGTTTTACATCCACATATTGGACAATGTCCTTGCGTGTTTCGCTGATGTCCCGTCATCACTATACGAGAATACCCTTACAGCCAATCCCATGGCAGTCGGGTACAGCGAACTTGTTTGCTGGGGTGATACTCGCCTCCGTGGTGAAAGTAATGGTGGTATTACCCGGTGTGTTATAAGTAGCCTACACAAAGAAGAAATCCAGGAAGAAAGGAAGGACAGAAGGAAATAGAAGGAACAAATAAATAAATAAAGAATGTGAACGACTAAATTAATGAATAAATATTAGATAAATGAATAAATGAATGAATAAATGAATATATAAATATATATATATATATATATAAAGACACAAAGGAATAAATGAATGCAAATAAAAATGAAGTTTGGAGATACGAGATATATTAGTGTCTGAAAAATGCAAGGTAATATAATCATGAGGAGCTTTCCCAACAGCAAACACAAAATTATCAAATCATATGTATAATATCACATTCAGTCATTCGCTATTTTAGAAGATAAAATTGGAAATAATATGTTGACTGAATTTGTGAATTGAGTGTTTGTTGTTCAGCGCCCTCTTACGACGACTAGCACAATCCATGAGATGATGGTGAACTACTGTTTCTTTATGCCATTAGTTAAAATACACAATTTTATTTAGCTTGCAATAAAAAATAGCCCAAAATAAATGAATGATTCATTTTACTTACCCTGATGAAGAAGCACTGCCATCCGATTTCTGGTGTTAGAAATTCAGCGATATATTTTCCCGGCTCCTAAAACACAACAAGAGGGAATCACAGTGATCATAACAAGCCAAACGATGTCTCATTCCGTCTGATACAATAAAAAACAACAACAACAAGTCTAAGTCACAATATAAGAACAAAATAAACCGTCTTCTTGTATTTGTCACCTTTTCACCTATACTGAATGAAAGTATGGTTAGAGGTGGTTTTGGAAATAAAACTTCACCGAACGAGTTTGCTAATTCGTACGGTGAATATTCATTTCCAAAATTTATTTTGAGTAAAAGCAACGAAGGAAATAAATGTCTTACTGAAAAATAAATATGTAACATTAATTTTTCATTCAAATTGGCGACCCTGCAAAAACCCAGCAGCCTGCACAGATCGGTTGTTAATTTGCCAATAATTTTCATTCCTAAAAAATTGAAGTGAACGAATTAGAAATGCAACAACGATGGGCATACGATGGGCATAACTGGTGACATTTCTTTTTTTCCTGCTCATAATTAATTATACATGATAAGTCAGGACAAGAAATTCGAGAAAAAAAATTGTTTGTCAAAGCACAAAACTTGGTCACATATGGTTGCTAAACTTACTGGGTTCCTAAACGGGAATGACTTGTAGATAATAACGTTGATGGAGTAGTTGGTAGTCCCTGGTGGATCGGCTACGGCAAACCGAAAGTCTCTTCTACCAGGAGAACAGATGTAATTAATCCCAATATATTTAATTGAATGAGCAACAACAAAAAAGGGAGAAAAATCCATCACTGATGCTGATCAAATGATAGATTGATTTATTTTTAATTGCCAAGTTTCCAAAATACAAAACTATTCAAGAACAACAGATCAAAATTAAGTCAGCTTGAACAGGATAACCCACAAAAGCACGAGAGCTCATTTTACTTGAAAACGAATGAGAAAATGTGTTCCATTTGATTTAAAAATTGAATCATTACAATTAATCTTGTTTAGAATAATTGAAATTTCGATTGGATAAAGAAAAAGAGTTTTGAACAGAAATATTTATAAACGAACTGAAAATCTGAGGCTTTAACTAGAAACGAATCAGTATCAGAAACTGTATGAGTTTCGCATCATTATTTCCCCCATTTTTTTCAAAGCAGTGTGGAGTACTCAAAACGGGAATTTTCTTCAACTTACCTCGGCCCTCTGTTGGTAAGTGTCCGAAAGACTTCGACCTTCAGCGGAACGGGGTCGGATATGAGTTCGAGGATTCCATGGGTCGAATTCTGATAAGCAATGACCGAATTAGAATATGTTTACCTTATGCTAAACTGATATGCCTCTGATTAATAAAATGATAATAATAATAAAAACGTTACTTATAAAGCGCTTACCACCGAAGTCTCTTAGCGCTATAACAAACAAAATAGACTGATAAACAATTACATATTAAACAAGAATGCAAATAAACCTACAAATTACAATACATATGAAATACACATCAATGCGAACAGAGTTAGTTAATCATCGAAAACAATTTTGAATAAATGTGTCTTAATATATATGTATCAGTTTATTTCAATCATCATTCTTGAACTTTAATGCATTGACAATATATGACGAAAAAACAATGGCAAGTGAATGAAGAATAAATAAATATGCATGCAGACGAGTATATATAAAATATATTATTTTTTTTCTCAAAAAGGTGTTATTTTATTAACCAAGGTCAAATCTTTTCTTTGATTTTGTAGTGCAATACAGTAAGGTCAAAGCTATATTATTTGATTTTGTTAACGCAGATAATATGTTAATTGCTTCCCAAATAGCGGACTGTTTTTCCCCCAAATATTTTAGAGTCGGTCTGTTTCTTACCTCATATCGTTTCCAAGTCATTTTTGGTGCGGTCCATTCATTGGGCTGGAAATAAAGGGTAGACAAAAAAAAAAAAAAAAAAAAAAAAAAAAAAAAAAAATCACATTTTAAAATCAAATTATTCCTTATACATATTTTGATTTATGCGAATGATCATGATATGTCTTATTTAGTGTTTTGTTTGGTGCAAAATAATATGACATTGAGTACAATCAATTATTTAACAAAAATGTTTTTCTTACCCTTATAACGGTGCGAACGAATGATGTTAGTTGATGAGTCAGTTCTAAATTGTGAAACCTTAATTCATGCTCGTCATTTGGAGTGATGCTGTAAAATAAAATGGAAATAGAAGGAACAAAAAAAATTAGCCAGAACCTTTTCAAGATATTCTCGCTAATTGAGGAGGGGTGGGGTGGGGTGGGAGGCAGGGAAACAAAAATCAAACTTTTCTTGCCAATTTTTCCCCCCGTACTTTAATTCAACAGGATTTCTCCAGCCCTTGGAATAACTCATCACTAGGTTCCCAGGAAAGAAACATTCATACATTAGAACGGGTCTATTTATCTCTGCTGTTCTATATTCAAATCAATACAAGCTAAACATAAACATGCAACTTGTCCAATATCAATAAAGAAACAAATTTAAACACGTTTAAACACGTTTAAATATTATGGTATACTCTAACTGAAGAAAAATCACAGAGAAAAAAATATAAAAGAAAATGAAACCCGGATGTACCTGAGATACTTAGGACCCGGAAGTTCGTTGAAATAATAGTAGGAATCGTCAGGGAGGAAGAATTCATCCGAGCCTGCTGTCACGATAAACTTAGGCATGGTCAGTCTATCTTTGTAGGCTAGTGATGATAAAAATATGGGTTGTATTAAGATTAAACTTGAGTTCTGGTAAAAAAAGAAGAAAAAGAATTCTCACAGAATCAAACGAAACTTACACTGAATGTTCAAGATTACAAATAAATGTCATTGGTCAAACAATTTTGGTAGAAAATGTATACTGGCTGAGTAATGAGCATAGAAAGATAAGGAAATCGATGTATTAGGCCCGACACCATTTATGTAGTCACTTATACATCTTTCTATGTACAGTGCTTGGTACTATACCAAGACTGGGCCAAATTTTTAATGATTTTGATGGCTCCAGAATATTGCAGTACACACCAATACTTACATGGTACATGATCAACTTTTTCTGATCCATTCCACACCTTTTCTTTCACAATGCAATAGCATGATCAGAACTCAACTGTATCTTTAAGCCAACGCTCTACGATCCGACTATGATACAATTTTGGAAAAATTGCCATTATAGCATTTGATATTAACATTCAAACATGTCAAATCTTAATGACTGAGGATCTGAATGGTGATATGATCAGTAAAACCTAAATTTAAAGGGATATCAATGCTTCCTTGGAGGAGGAATAACTAAATCGGCGCATGATCGTATCGACATCTGACATCAGTGCGATCGTCTACGAGTTGAAACATTTTAGTCCAACTAGAAGAGTTTAAATGTTTTTTAATTCCGGTTGTGGATATTCTTATCATTATTTAGAACCTAAATCACGAAAATTATGTTCGTTTAGATTTACATATCTAGAAACATCATAGAAATTTAGCAATTGTTATTGTTAACTAGTTTTTAATGAAACTGGATTTTAGGTCCGTAAGATCACCAACCATCATAATTGCAATATTATCTGGGGGTGTTTCATCAACTAGAAGTGATTTCGATTTTAAGATCGATTTCAAGGCTTGATGAAACACCCACGAGAATAAATTTTTACCAAAAGGATCAACAATGGCGGCCATCTTGTCCAGTTGTGGAGTGTCCATAAAGAGTGTGACGTTTTCATCATAATAGTCATTAAACTCCATGGTCCAGCCTCCCAGTGAACGGTAGTGATGGTGGAAGTTCTGAAGAGGACAATTTATATTTCAGTTTCCTGTTTAATGCCTAAATGGTAGGGTAAGAGTTAAATATCATATCCCCGAAATAAGTTTGCAAATACTTATGTTTCATTAATGGTAATATTAAGTAATGCTTGGCATTGGCGTTGTGGGGGGGGGGGGGGGGGGGCATGGCAGGAAATAAACAAGAAATATCTGTGAGATACTATACAAATAATACACAGCAGTGAGGGCATTATGATGTTGTATTTGTTTTTATAAACTGATGTTTTATTATATGATTTTTACCAATGACCGGTCATAAGTATTTACTAATGACCGGTCATTAGTAAAGTTACGTGTTCAATATCCTGATCACGCGTACGCTCTCAACCAATCATTTGATCAGGATCCGCTTCATCATCTTATAACATACATTAATCAAAGTAGGCAAATTAGGTGCCTAACTTAGAACTATTTGTTGTTGTTGATGTTGTTCAATGAGTAATGACATAAACACAATTAAATGAGTTAGCGACGAGATTTATTTACAGAATTTGCCTCAAAAATAAGTATTGTCATAAATATGATCTGATAAACTCACGATGAAGATTTCGTACCTTTTTCAAATTAAGTAGGTCGAGTACAATAGGTGCTATAGCAACCACTCTCTTATCAACAGCTCCAGTTGTCCACGTAGTCCATCCTCTCTATGGTCATCAAAAAGAAAGAAAGAAAAAAAAGAAAAGAAAAGAAAAGAAAAGAAAAGAAAAGAAAATCACTTTACCATAGGGAATATACTTCAGTAACGGGGACCAAAGTGGTAGTACTTGTACACCCATATGTTGCTCAGTATGGGCAGCCTTAAACAAATAATTTGAGGTCGCCCGAGGGCCTGTAAAACAAAAGTTTGCAATCAATTGTAAATTTGAAATAACGACTCTGACTGGTCAATAGTCATCCTTTGTTCGCAACATCTACATGCAACGATTATCTTGATTGGCCATATACCATTTTGCAATTTATTACAAAACTTTGTGTGACGGGGTTCTGTTTGTTCCCCTACCAAGTTAACCGGAGCTTGTGACTTATTGACTTCAGACTTATCATTTATTAACAGTTAGATCATTATAGGTATATTATTTTTTTTAAAGAATGACATACCTTGGATTCTCCAGCGACAATGAATTTTGATATATTTTGGTTTGGACTGACATTGTTTACCACATCAGTGATGGTGTCCATGGCCCGCACAGCAGCCTGTATTTGCCAAAGAAATAGAGAAAAATGACAGATACTTAATGATATTTTAATGGGTTTTATGAGGTATGATAGCATGTTATAGGTAACTATCAACAAAGTCAAACGATTGAAAAAATGTTTATCATTCTGACATAATCGTTGTAGGTAAATTGCATAAAGTACCGTTATAATACTGATCAGAAAAGGGTTAGTTATAGACATATTTTAAACCAATATTCGATAAAGATTATTTTTATGACATCTGTTGCCTTAAAAACATTTGACATTGATTTGGATTCAAATACGAATCCATATGCATTCATGAAGAAATCGGTAAAATGAATATTTTCCCGTTTTTCTTAGAGGAGGGGGCATGCAGGACCACCCCACCACCCGTTACCAATGAGTATGCACCGGATCCTTATTATATTCCTTTATTTAAAAAGAAGAAATGAATGTTTACCCATGATTTAATACTGAATTCCCAAATTTAGTAAATGAACCATGATCCGATAGAAACCGGTTCCGATAAAAAATATGTTATGGAATTTATACCTTTGTCATAGGTAATCGTAGCAGCCAGTTAGGCTCGTTCGTACCGTTGTAGAGGAAATGATGCCAGGTGAAAGCAATGACTTCATCCTCATACCTCTTCATCTGTTTCGGGTCAGTCTTCAGAAAGATAGATACATATGATGAATATATATATATATATATACGGATAGATTGATAAATATGCAGATTGATATATAGATGTTTATATATATATATATATATATATATATATATATATATAAATATATATATATTTTTACGTGTTGTATGTATTTATGCTTTTAATTATCCTTATACACTGAAGCCTGCAGATATCCCCATGCAGGCACCATTAGCATTGTCTTTCTAAAGGCAAGCAAGCAAGGATACCTTACACATTGCTTATTGTGCTCCTGTTTGTTATCAAAACAAAATTTGATACGTACGCCAGTGTAGAAGAATGTAATACTCATTGTAAATACTGTACATAGAAAGGACAAGGGACAATACTACACAGTCTATTAAATTGATGTGATGAGATCGAAGTCCAAGTTAAAATGGCGTTCTCTGGGAAAACCCACCAGTTACAACATTTATCATCAATTCAGGGCGCGACGCTTATTTGCAGAGTAGGCACCATTGACGTTCCGTTCGTTTAGGCTTGGGTAGAGGACTATTGTGACGTACACGTATTTCGTAATAAGCAGTACAGATATCGACCTCTTCATAAAACATTTACACAGGATTTTGAGCAGGAATAATTGCTTTCTCTAATTTGTCACCGATTCGCATATCATATCCATGGCCGAGAAACAGGAAGAAGAGGACGTTCCGATCTCTTCACAAGGTTTGACATGTCCACTGTGTCTTGGTATCTTCGAAGATGCAACCCTCTTGACCTCTTGCGGACATACCTTCTGTCGAACCTGTCTCAGGAAATACGACCTATCCCACCAGGATCTTGATCACATGGTCTGCCCTCTCTGCAGGACAGTGACGAAGTTGTCTTCAAACCGGGTCGACGATCTCCTCCCCAATGTGACCGTCAACGGACTCGTGGACGACTACCGTGCCAGGTCTGGAGGGGCCAGTGCCATCCTGGAGATACGGCAAAAGTGCACTGTCTGCAACCTCCAAGTAGAGGCCATCGTTTTATGCAGGACATGCATTGCATACATGTGTGATCAATGCCGCATTGGCCACAAACAAGTGAAGCTGTTCTTCGAAGGTCATGAGATCGTATCTCTCCAGGATATCATTGAGGAAAATGTTAGATCTGGTCGCCCTTCCGAGAAATGCTCCGTCCACAGACAAGAGAACAAACATTTGTTCTGTCAGGATTGTAAGATACGTGTTTGTTTCAAGTGCGTCATCATCGACCATCGAGATCACATGATAAAATCACATAAGGACTTTGAAAAGGAAATGCAGGTTAAGGTACGTAGTCCAATGGCAAGTCATTCAATGGTCTTAAATATCTTGTTTATTCGAATATTAATTATTCTTTACATATCACCCGATTGTACACCTTTGCCAAATGATGTTATACTAATTGTTTCTTACCTCTTATCGTGACAATACGATTTATTCTTGATAGATTACATCTTCTTAGAACTGCATTGATCATAGAGATATATCTATAAGGGTCTGGGGAGATATAAACATTATCAAAAATAAATCATACCTCAATCCTTTTATGAAAAGGATTAGAAACAAATATTCGAACTATCATCTGGGCAACGGTGTATGCTGTCTAAAACTATGCTGCATAATGCATCCAACCTTTAATAATAATGATATTATTGCGCTACTACCTGGGACAAGGAAAAAGGACATTGACAATTTGTTTTGCGATGGGCCATGGTATTTATTACTTGTTATAGAAACTTTCAGTCATCATTAGACTTGTGGTAAAACATATTTCAAACGAAAATAGGCTGTTAAAGGCAATACAAAGTTTTGGTATGGGGTCATGAATTTGGTTCAAATGAACATATTGGAAGCATAAATTATGCGATCCTACAATATTTAGTGATCGTTGTCGCGGTCGAAATCGAGTATAAAGTTATGAAAATCTAGATAATAAACACTTTATGTTGTATAGCTCCCTCTCAAGGTCAAGAAATTAATTAATACAAAAAAAATGTTTCTTGACTAAAATCGACCAATAGCTATTCCCTTTCGGAAATGATATACCACAACTACATATTCTGAGATTTTTTATGGTCGCAACTACTATTGTATGGCCGTAGGAGCTAATTGAAATTTATCAAAATTTACCGGGAGCACCGGTAAATCTTTATATTCAAATTTTCTCGAAAGCAGAAGTGTTTTAGGGGCCAACATTTCTAGTGCGTTTATTACATCCACAGGGGCATCCAAATATATCAAAATTGTAAAGAATCACCATCCACTAATTTTTCACAATTTCCCAAAACTTTGTAATACCTTTAACTTCACAATGATCAACATAAAATATATGAAAAATACAAACGGTAACCTAACATAATTAAACCCGAGAATAAACAGTCTAAATTGACCTAGGGACCCGGCCGGGATTTGAAATTAATCATGATATCGTCATGAAAAACCATCGCCCCAAGCCTTACGACAATTGACCATAATTATAATCCACTGTCTCACGATCGAAGCGGTATAACTCTCCCTCCCACCTAGCCTATAGACAAGGCCTCATGTCTGATAGACGACCGAGCGACTAAAAAGAGACTAATCGCGAAAACCCGATTGAATGCCAGAGCGAGTGGCGTCAGCCAAGAGACCTTGAGTAATCTGGTTTGAATTTCTTTTGTTAACCTTTGTTTCCGACTGGAATTCTCTACCGAAATGGTAGCGTAAAACTTAGCGAACGTATCATCGAGTGACGTCAGCATATATTATCTATCACGCATACAGTACACTCTACGTAGTACGAATGACGTAATGTTTAAACCACTAACCTCTACATAGAACGAAAACGAGTCGGACTGGGTCATTTTATATACAGGGAAAACCAATTATCTCACTTACAATTCTTAGCTCAAGTTATCAAATGCTTCCTATATTATTGTAATTTTGCCTGTAAAATAGATTTGAATTTTATATTTTGTATTGATCATTGATATGCTCATCTCATCAGCAAAACTTATTTACGTCTTTTACCTTTGCTTACATGTTTTGATAATGAACGAATCACGAACGAAGCCAACTGGGAAATGGCCATTCTGATTGGTCAATACATCCAACGTTATGAATAATTCATGCAGAGCAGTAAAAGATTGTCTGATATTCAGTGATGCATGCAGAGATTCAAATGAAAATGGTACCTAAATGTACTGGGAGGATAACTGTATCAAGATATATCATGAAACCCTTGATTAAATAGTCATGCTCCAAACAATACAACTTTTAAACAGTGGGACATTTTTTCTGACTCACTCTGTAGTTCAGTGCACCGCACGGCACCCGGTCGGGCGCCTTTAGGACACCGGCCGGGCACCTTCCGGGAGCCATCGGTACACCTGCTCATCGGACGGAGCCCGTAAGGTTACCGACCGGCACTCGGCCGGCAGCCTGCCAGCACCCTTACGGGCACCTTGCATTTCACTCGACCAATTTTCTCCGGGCACCTCCCGGGCGCCGCAGAATATGTGACCACACATGCCGTAGAAATGAAAATCGGACGGTTCCCGTACGGTCTCTAAATCCACGGCAAGCCGCCGGGTGGGGAAAATCGTACGGGGCCCGGTTTATATGTGACCTAGGCATTAAGATATAATTTAACAAAGTAACAATGTTCTCTGTCGGTTCCATGGTGAGTTCACTATTTACGATTGAAGGTTTTTGGTATTAAACTGAGTGGAATTCATTTATGCCGTTCCACTTGATCAGAAATAAACTTCATTCCACTATCAGCACATTTTTCCTTTCCTGTACTTCCTTCGTAAATTCCTTTAAACAAAACTAAGCGGGTCCCTTTTGACGGAATAATTACAGTAGTTAACAACTTTTTCAGTAAGGCTACCAGATTGTTTTACGGAAAGCCTCCAATCGTGAATATTTGATATGGCGCGGTAAACCGCCGTAAACAAGTCGCTGCAGGTTATAAAATAAAACCATATAAATAAATGGCAAGTGCGCGTATTCACTAAGCACTGTGTCATAAGATACAGAAAAAATTAACCGTATTAAAATTTACTTCATCCTTTAAAAAAAAACGATGTGGTTTTGCCGGGTCATATCTGAACGAGTCTTAATTTACAGTGGTTATTAAAGGATGTGATCAGAATTTCACCTTCAAGTGAGAATCATTCATTTTGCTTCCCTACTCCTTTCATTCTACAGGTGAGTGATCTTCTCTATCGTTGTAAAGCGAAGCAATCAGAACTGGAGAAGAACATTCAGACTGTAGAGACACATCATCATGAAGCACACAATGCTCTTCAGCTACTACGTGCAGATGTCGGCCAAGCCTGTCGTACCAAGGTCAAACAACTAGAAGACAACCGATGTGCACTTGTTGAGAAGATCGACGCTCTGGAGCGTAGTTTTGATGAAACCCTCAACAATCTGAAATCAAAGGAGCGACAGATGATCGAGAGCATTTGTAGTTCAGTAGATCTTGTGGGTAATGCCAGACTGGGATGTCTCGAGACGGACAGTCTGGCTGCTCACACATTCCTTTGCGAAGAGATCGATGGCTTGCTAAAGGAGGTTATTGATCAAACCTCTGCCGCAACTATAAGGGAGAAGGCACAGAAGCAGAGGTTTAAGCCTGCAGATGACGCCAGTCTTGACCTTGGGAATATCTCAGAAACAGATTCTGAGACTACTGGATGGCATGCTGAATGGGGCAGCTACCGATGACACTTCTGCAGCAACCAAATGCGAGGAAGTCCAGAAGGAGAGATTGGAGTTTGCATATGAGGATATCAGGAACGGGATATCCGTTCCAGAACCACAGTCTAAAAGTCAACCGAAACTCCGTGTCATTAAATGTGTATATCTACGTGAAGATTTTGAGGATATGACAAAATACACCAATAACTCAGTGGCAATCACATATTGTGATGCACATCGCATTGATATCTTTAAATCAGATGACGATGAACCATGGGGTTATTCTAACTTTCCAAATGGTATGAAATGTTATGGTATTGTGTTTCAAAGTGACATGACTCTATGCGTATCTACAGGTCATACAAAGGTACACAGGTACTCTCCCAATGGCGATCGGAAATCTACCACCGAAGTGACAAGCAATGGACGTCTTCTACGGTTGAGTAGAAGTCAATCAAATGAAATTCTCATGACCCAATATTCAAATCATGTCTCCATCTACGACCCCTCGGGAAACACACTTAAACACGATGTGCAAACAAGACACAAAATCACTTACGAGACATCTGCAACCAAGTCGGGTTTGATCGTCACAACTTCTTGTTACAGCAAACAATATGACAATCCAAAGATGGTGATGGTCTATGACAGGGATGGGAATTCCGGGAGGTATCTAAAAGCTCCACCCAGGTTCAATCTGTGTCACGCCGTGGACGAGCTGGACAGGGTGTATATAGCGAGTGTTGATCAGAATACCGGACAAGTGCATATCAAACTCTATGACATTGATGGTCTGAACCTGGAGGAGAGAGTTCAGTTCAATCCACTATACTTGACAGGAGATCATAATTCTTTTCGCATGGTTTCTCTCGCTCCACACATACTTGCGTTTGTTGCTTGCGATAGACTCTATTTCTTAGAAGTTAAATTGTAATTGGCTTTGTTTGATTCCTTGGTATCTTTCAGTACAGACCCTTTTGGATGTTACTGTAATTCACGCGTTCAATGTCAAGAGCCATCGAACATAATCATGCTAATAAAGACTTGTTTACTTTTTTCTGAAGATAGTGATATAATGATTTGATGACCTTAAGTCACGAAACTTTATCACAATAATAAATAATAATAATTAAATATTAATAGCAAGAGTTGGTTATTGTACTTCGCTCATGTCTGTAAAACACGACCCTTCTGGCGCTCCATAATCATTATTACACCGGCTGGCTGCCATTACGGCGCTCTAGCATTTCAAGTAATTAATTCCTGCAAGGTACCCATTTGCCTCACCTGGGTCGAGTGTGGCAAATGTATAAATGTCTTACCAAAAGGTCGTTAGTGTCGTGGCGATACTCGAACCTCGGGATCCACAGTCTGATGACTTATCCACTAGACCACGACACATCGAAGTGCAATAGAAGTGCAATAGCTGGCAGACGATGATTGACCATTTACGACACTCACACGTGGAGATTAGGAATCAAGATTTGATTATGTCTTAAAAGATGTTCTCAAGTACATGTATGCTAGAGGGCATACGGATATGCCCAGAGAAACGCGCAAGGCAGATATTTGTAGGGCATCTGCCCCTTTGTACTCCCGTGAATGCAAACATGATTATGATATTGAAAAGGAAATATGATTATGTAAATGAATATATGTAAATATTTAAGGTAGAAAGTGAAACAAAGTCACACCAAGAACATATATTTTTCATTTTATTTATATAGTTTTTCCCAAAGAAAATGTAAACGTCACCGTCTTATAGTCATGAATACGACCTTTGTATTGTATACATGTACCAATATCTTGCAATAAGCCGAGTGTTGATTGAAATTATATGCATATCTGTATATATATATATATATATATATATATATCTATCTCATAGATATATGCACTGTATATAAATTATATTGACATAAATTTCCCATATGTAAACATATATATATATATATATATATTCATGTAATAAAGTACTAAGTAAGGAACGACTGTCAGATGATGCAATGTGAGCTGTATACAAGATTGTAACGTTTCACCAACACTTCATATTTTTCTCACTTTTTAAGCCAAAAAATTGATAGGCCTATGTGTTTAATTGGTATCCTGAATATAAGGGAATAAGTGCACTTCTCTGTATGAATTTGCTATTTACAACGCACAAATGACAAAAGTTCTTCTTGCATTCAGCTTATTCTGAATTGTTGTTTTTCTGATTAAAATAATAAATTAGGATTCGGTGCTTTGTACTAAACCAATCCATTACCAGGTTCACCACACTCTAAAACAGTTGGGTAAATTTGTTCCCAATATTGCGTACAACAAGTAGCATGTTTGGTGGGAAAAATATCTATTGGGTATCATTTTACAAAATAAGCATGCTTGTTCCCTTCTTACATATTTTACCCCACCTTTATGGAGTGCATTTATGTTTATCAGAGCATTTAAAGATGTAAGCTTTAATATGTCACATTATCAAGAAACATATATAGGGACAAATCATTTTTTCACACACTTACAACATTACACAATTTGGTTAGGACATAATAGTTTAGTTTTTAACTGTATTTAATCTTGTTAACTCCATTCATATCTTCATATCTTTCCGCGAAAGTGTTACCTTGAAAACGATCGGTTGGTTTGGCACTTGGCGTAGTGTTGCACCAACTCTAAAAGAGAGAATTCATAATATAGAAAGGGCAATTTTCACTGTTTTTGTTTTATTTATCAATTTTTATACCTACAGGTATCTTAATGAACCACCACATCGTGTTTTACCTTTTTATTGTTATATTATTAGCATTTTCAAAGTCATATAGATACATATTTTCATGATAAATGAGCTAATTTTTTATATTATTTTGCTTAAGTTGCTTTAAGATACCGGAGCAGTGGCGGATCCAGGGGGATTATATTATTAGCATTTTCAAAGTCATATAGATACATATTTTCATGATAAATGAGCTAATTTTTTATATTATTTTGCTTAAGTTGCTTTAAGATACCGGAGCAGTGGCGGATCCAGGGGGGGGGGGGGCCCGGGGGCCCGGGCCCCCCCCCCTTGAGAAAAAAATCATGTAAAATCACGTGATTTTTACCTTTTTTGGGGGTTGGGCCCCCCCCCCCCTGGCGCTCAAGGGGGGGGGGGGGGGGTGCAAATCGAAATTTTTTTTGAGGATCAAAAAAAAAAAAAAATGTGCTCACTACCCCCCCCCCCCCCCCCCCCCCCCCCCCCCCCCCCCCCCCCCCCCCCCCACTGAGCGAATTTTTGGCCGGCGCGTTTTTCAAATTTTCGGGAGCAAAAAAAAAAAAAAAAAAAAAAAAATTGTGCTCTGTACCCCCCCCCCCCCCCCCCCCCCCCTGAGCGACTTTTCGGCCGGCGCGATTTTCAAATTTTCGGGAGCAAAAAAAAAAAAGTTGGGCCCCCTCCCCTAAGAAATCCTGGATCCGCGCCTGTACCGGAGTGTTGGCTCAGTCAGTAGAGCGTCCGCCACACAACCGGGAGGTCGTGGGTTCGAACCCCGGCCGCGTCATACCAAAAGACGTTAAAAGATGGGAGTTGTTGCTACCTTGTTTGGCGTTCAACAATAAGGGATAGAGCAACGTCGATCTGGCGCTGCTCAGTGGCTGCCGGGCTCACGATCAATTGGGCAAAAAGAATTTCCGTTTCGGTTTAATAAAATTTGGAGTGGACTATTAGGCTATTATTATTATTATTCATTCATTTAACTATACGTTGTAAGTACATGTATGTCTACTTTTGATGATAAAGTAAGCAGGTAACTTTTAAACCAATAAAACACAAATTTATTTATCTAGTTCTATGCAATATAAAATAGGTTCACATTATCTGAACTGATATAATCAAATTCCCTTTAAAAATTTGACATGTTTTTTGTGTTCGTTTTAATATTCGTAATGTTCGTTTTAGTATTCTTAATAATATTTAGGTTTCTTAGAAGTAATGGTTTTCTTTAAATTACTTACATCCCAGCTCCGACAGCGATGTTGGATGTTCTCCTGATTTCCTTATCGGTCCGTGGGTCAGGGGGACTGTACAACAGAGAGAGAGAGAGAGAGAGAGAGAGAGAGAGTGAGAGAGGGAGGAGAGATATGACAATGGCAAATCATTAGAATATCTTATGTCATTGCGATCAGTGGGAATAATTCATACATTATCCATTATTACTGGTGTATTACAAGTGATATTTGTGCATAATCTAGAACGTTATGCGTAGCTACACTCTGAAGCTACAGTGATCGGGGAGAGGCATTAGGCACGAGCCCTGCATCGATTGGGAAAAATGAAAACAAACAAACAAACACTCACACAAACAAACGAACCAACGTACAAACGAACAAACAAAACAAGAACAAAATAAGTCTTAAGAGGGCCATATTCATGGTAATTTAACTTAATCAAAGGTGCTAGCGCCCCCATTGAAATAAGATAGGCCAACAAAGAGATTTTTAATTTGTCAGGACCATTACACACCATTTGTCGTTTCCATGGTAACGTACCTGCTTTTCGTGGATCCGCCGGTGATGAAAAGAAATGCATGCTCGGAATTGACGATACGCTCGGGAATGGTGATGGTTAAATAGTGGAACCAGATAGCGCTGTCCGAATCATTGTCTGTTATAAGAGAGAGAGAGATAGAGAAAGAGAGAGAGAGATAGAGAAAGAGAGAGAGAGAGAGATAGAGAAAGAGAGAGAGATATATATAGAGAGAGAGAGAGTGCGAGGGGGTGGGTGTGGGAAAGGGGGATGAGAGGGAGAGTAGAGGGAGATAAAGTGAGTGAGAGAGAGAGAGAGAGAAAGAAAGAGAGATAGAGACAGCGTGGGAGAGAATGAGAGAGAGAGAGAGGGAGACAGAGAGAGAGAGAGAGAGAGAGAAATAGGGAGGTATGGAAGTAAAATGGTGACACGACATTTGCTCCTGCGACAATTGCTCCGGGCTTTATTTTGTCTAAGATGTAGGGTTAGGGTTAGGGTTTCAATAGGGTTTTATGTTAGGTTTAGGGTTAGGTTTAGGGTAGGGTATAGTGTTGAATCCAGGGTTGAAGTTAGCCATTCGATTAGTGTATGAAATTTACAGCGGAGCAATTGTCGCCGGAGCAAATGTCATGGAATCAGTAAAATACATCTGCTGTTGTAAACGTTACTGATAGAAAAACTTTAACTCCAAAAAAATGGAAGCCAATGTTGATATAGCCAGTCTACCGAATAATGACATCATGTACTGAAATATTGATGTGACAGGCAATGTAATACAATGCAAAATGTGGGGAGCCAAAATAAAAAGCATAGCTTGTATGAATCGAATCAAAATAACATGCTTTGTAATTGCAGTGGATATTGGGAATGCATTGTTGATTGTCATTGTTACTTGTCAGTGTCAATAGACAGATAAAAATGATTTGGTTAAAAATAATGTTTTCAGATTAGAATATCGTTATTGATGATCATCATTGCTCTTCTTCAGGCTGGATATTTTAACATTTTCCATAATACTTAGTACCCATGAAATACCAGTACTGTCAACAAACTTTTCAATAAGTATTACAATAAATCTGCAATACCACATGACTTGGATTTATAACTCACATGTCAACCACTGCTGTGAAGTCATGTTGACGACATACGCGGTGTATTCCCCCGGTATCCTGTACTCTTTCAAGATCGTATAACTGTAATTGTTGTCCGGCATGTTGACGTAGTCATCCAGCGGTGTTGTGTGGACTGTGGCTGCCACACATGCAACAAGAACGGCGGCAACCCAGCCCGAGGCACGCAGCGGAGGCGTCATGATTTCAGTTGTTGATCAACGTGGTATTGTTCGTGTTCCTGAAGAAGAAGGAGCGGTTTGAAAACAATGTAAGTCCGACCGACGCAAACATTGAAGGGATGGGTGGGGATAAATTACCCCCCCCCCCACACTCAAAAATCTATCTCTTCAAAGCCACTCTTGTCGGCTAATTTGTATATAAGAAGACCCCTTTGGTTGCTTCCCCCTTTATATATATTTTGTCGGGAATGTATCTTTTATACTCTACCGATAGATTTGTGATTTCCAGACCATTCAACTATTTAATCCATACAAATTTCACAATATATTCATTACTAGCGGTGGACACCTTTTGGTATATTTTTGGGAACACCTCCGTTTGGAATTTTCAGGGGATCCCAGGGTCCTGGGATGCTTATTGCTTAGCACACCCTTATAAACAATGATACACAGATAGGTCCTACGATTAAATTCAGGTCATATTAATTATCAGATTATTATCATCTCACTGGACAAACTTCAAGTGATTAAGCAAATTTGTTTACATAGCCAGAAAACACAAGATTATGGAAAGGCTGAAAAAAGACACGGGGTAGAAAAACTACAAAATAGAAGAAGGAGAAGTAGAAGAAGAAGAAGGAGAAGTAGAAGAAGAAGGAGAAGTAGAAGAAGAAGAAGAAGAAGAAGAAGAAGAAGAAGGAGAAGTAGAAGAAGAAGAAGAAGAAGAAGGAGAAGTAGAAGAAGAAGAAGAAGGAGAAGTAGAAGAAGAAGAAGAAGAAGAAGAAGGAGAAGTAGAAGAAGAAGAAGAAGAAGAAGAAGAAGAAGGAGAAGTAGAAGAAGAAGGAGAAGTAGAAGAAGAAGAAGAAGTAGAAGAAGAAGGAGAAGTAGAAGAAGAAGAAGGAGAAGTAGAAGAAGAAGAAGAAGAAGAAGAAGAAGGAGAAGTAGAAGAAGAAGAAGAAGAAGAAGAAGAAGAAGAAGAAGGAGAAGTAGAAGAAGAAGAAGAAGAGGAAGGTGAAGTAGAAGAAGAAGAAGAAGAAGAAGAAGAAGGAGAAGTAGAAGAAGAAGGAGAAGTAGAAGAAGAAGAAGAAGTAGAAGAAGAAGGAGAAGTAGAAGAAGAAGAAGGAGAAGTAGAAGAAGAAGGAGAAGTAGAAGAAGAAGAAGAAGAAGAAGAAGAAGAAGAAGGAGAAGTAGAAGAAGAAGAAGAAGAAGAAGAAGGAGAAGTAGAAGAAGAAGAAGAAGAAGAAGTAAAAGAAGAAGAAGAAGAATATGATGAAGAAGAAGAAGAAAGAAGGAGAAAAGAAATTGAAAAGAAGGATAAAGATAAGCATGAGGAGGTGGACGGGAAGAATAATAATAGGAAGATAATGATTAAGGAGAAGAAGAAGAAGAAGAAGAAAATGAAAAAGAAGAGAAAGAAGAAGAAGGAATTTATACGTAGCCTCATAAATACAACTGAAGAGCTAAAATTGACATCATAACTGAAATAAAAAATCTTTGAAGTTTTATTTCAGCGTCTCTATTTGTTATTGTTTACATATTATATTCATAATGCATCATTACAGTATCATTAATAGCATGGGTAATCGTATAAAAGTTTTGCTGGTATGACGTTGTGGAGACACCAAAGTTGTGTGCGCCATTTTAAACAAAGCCAATGACCTAGAAGTCATGTATTTATGCGTAAATTAAGAATGTGCCCATGCAAATTATGATGATATTACTGCCTACGCGCTGCATTGTGCGCGCACATCATCATTTGCATGGGCGCAATCTTAATTTACGCATAAATACCACTGACCTCAGGTCATTGGCTTTGATTCAAAGCCAATGACCCGTCAACTGTCTGCGCATGCGCACTGATACAACCGTAAACTGGTGTATTGTTCAATGGTTTAACCTGAAATATATTTCCACTTGTTCATATTACATACATCATATAAAACACAAATAGAACAAAGCAGTGCATTACTTAAATCGGTACAGTGTACCGATTTAGGTAATGCACTGCTTTATTGCAAATTCTAAATGATGTACATACTTCTTTAGTGAACATGAACGTTGACTCGTTACCAAAGAATTGAGAAAATATGATCATCTTAATTTTAAAAATATGGAGGAGCTTTTAGGAAAAAAAACACATTTCTAAATATTGTTTGAGGGTCATTGACAACAAAGCAATGTTTATTATAGCAATCTATAGTTCTACACAAAGAATTGTCTCTGCACAAATTACAAATGTCACAAGTTTTGACATGATCAAAAGAAGAATAGCGCCAGCTATATTCGCGAAACTGTACATGAGATGTGGCGAATATAAAAGGAGAATCTATCACTACGATAAGCGAAAGCATATAGTAGCGAGGTGTGATGTCATAGTAGCAAAGTTGTCAAGGTTGCTGGTTCCAAACAATTTTTTTAAACACGAAATAAACATGTACATGTTAAGAATCTTCTTTTTTTTTTATTTAGGTTGATTAGAACAAAAAAGGTCGTATATCGTGTGAGTAAGTTTACACTTAGAAAATTGCTAATAAGTTAAAAAAAAATCATCTATGAACAGTAAATGATTATTCATCTAATAAGAGAGTGTTTTATTCCAGATCATTTGGTATCATTTTTGTGTAGTATGTGTTCGTGCTTGGATGAACAGGAGGCATTGTTTGCGAGAGTGAAAAAATCGACTTGCGCCAAAGTGATGCCTACAGTATGTATTATGTTGGGATTAGCGGAGTGACAGAATGAATTGAATGTATCAAATGAAATACATTGCGTATGCTTTTGCAAGAAGCAAAGTCACACACACACACACACGCGCGCGCGCACAGATGTTCGTTGATATTTGATATTCGATATTTCGATGTGTGGCATGATTACTTTTGTTAGGGATGTTATTTGGATCTGCAAAAACCGAATTAATACCCAATTCCCAATTGTTTTATTCAAACATCACATAAGCAACTTTGGCGCAAATCGATTTTTGCACTCTCGCAAACAATTAACTGTTCATCCAAGCGTAAACACATACCACACACAAATCATACCAAATGTTTTGGGATAAAACATTCTTTTATAAGATGTATAATAATTTACTGTTCATAGATGATTTTTAAAATTACTAATGATTAACAATCATTTTCTAGGTGTAATTTTTTTTGGACTCACACTGTATATTCACATAATATCTTATGTATGTATAGTATCAGTTGTTAGAAATTGACATGAATTTTCAAACGATGCCGTTGGAAAATTTAGTGAAAGTGTATTTCTCTTTTATACTATTATTAATGATTTGTAAATTTATTCAAATAAAACGACGATTGACATCCCATGATGACGTCATTACTGCTTTGATTCGGCACAGATTGGAGAACTCAAGAATCAAATGACGATTACGTACTACATATCGCATGTATCCCATCACTGTGCTATTTAATACAATATGTGATACTCTGTGATACTACTACTTCTACTACCACTATTACTACTAAAACGTCAAGTGATTAAGTAAAATCCGTTTAAACAAACGGAAGACGCAATTCTATGGAAAGACTGATCTAGACAAGAGGGTTAAAAACTACAAAATAGAAGAAGAAGAAGATGAAAAGAGAAATTCATTAAAGAGACTCATAATCACATTTGAATGGGGAAGTGAAACTCAAATAAATTGTGTTCTGAAGTTTTATTGCAGCATCTTAACAATTCAATTTTTCATAAAACGTTTACAGTACATCATACAATACTATTAATAGCATGGTTAGTCATATAACAGCATTGATTCCAGTTTCTGATAGCATAGTTAATCGAAAAAAAAATCATTGTATGCAGTTCCTGAAAATGAATATTGCATCGTGTATAAAATCTGTACGATCAAGCATTGGATACTAAATAAAAGAAAACAAATTATTGTGGCAAAATAAGTATTATGATACCATAATTACTAGCAACATGCAACTAGCAACATAATACACATTACAGTTTAAGTCAACATAACGTATAGATAATGACTTTAAAGTAGATCATCATGAAATTATTGACAGAAATACGTGTTTATTATGTTAAAACGAACAATAACTATTTTACAGAAAATGGAGCCCTATAAAGTGATATGATAAAAATGTGCAAGTATTGTGTAACTACATTAATACAAGCAATATCATAAACCTTCACCTCTTTGTAAAGAAAAATAAAATACTGAATGTAGTGATATTGCAACTCTGTCATATGTTCTTCTCGTTTCATAGTACACGTATCTCTTACTAAAGAGTGCATCCATATGGTGAAATACATTCCTGTATAAAATTAATCCATGTTTTAATCATGTTTGCTGTGAACACAGTAAGAGATCTCAAGCGCGGGTGTTTAATCTTTTTTCACAGCGCGCCGAGATGATCTCACTCGTACGGATAACACCATATCATGCAAAATAATGTACCCGTCCATACATTGTGATCTCCCACTTAATACATAATGTGTATTCTATTTTAGGTTCATCGTAGTCTATTAAATAAACATCTAAGGCAAGGCATACTATTGGCAAATTTTAAGGATTATCATGAAGAATTTGGAACTAGGTATACACTATAGGAACGTAGTGACGGGTGGAAGAAGGAGGAGAAAGTGATAGTAGAGGACAGGGGTGTGGTCACACGGGGGTCACACGAGGGTCCCACGACATTCGGCACCGTGACAGTCAGGAACGGCGTACTCTTGGGCTGGTGTTATGTTGGCTTCCGTTGTGAAGCTAATGGTGGCGCCCCCGGGGGCGTAGTAGAAGGCCTGGGGAAAGAAAGAGAGAGAGAGAGAGAGAGAGTAGAACAATTATTAACATATTTAGGAAAAGGACAGCATGTCCTACTAGAAATTAAACTAATATTTATTTTACATTTGATCATACGTTTGTATACACATCGGGCAATAAGAACATATTGAAATTATCGATATCTAAATTTATGTAAGAAATCAAACAAAGATGAGCAACTTTGAAATTCAAATTCTGATGACGAAAATAACTTTTAATTTCACGCAGGACTTACTATGAAGGTAATATATGACTTTCTACCAATCTGCTCCCAACAGAAAGGATATTAAACGCAGGATTCAAATAAATTGTTTGATTGTGTCACTCATCTCCAGAATTACAAAGAATAATAATCATTGGACTCTTGAAATGAATGGTGTAATATCTAAATTATCACCTTGATGAAGAAGCACTGCCATCCAATTTTAGGAGTTAGGAACTCGGCGATGTATTTTCCTGGAGACTAAAACAGAGATATAGAAAAAAATTCAATATCTTTGGCATTTCCTAACAATAAACCCTGTATACACAATATTAAATAAAATTAATGATTTCTATTGGATATTGATTGATCAATCTAAAAGGAAATAAACGATTCATGGTAGTTGGTTACAATGAAGATTCTTCTATAGTATCGACAAATAAAGAGTCATCATTTTGATGTAGTGGCTGAGCTTGGATCGAATCATAATGGGGGGGGGGGGGGCGGGGGTGAGGGGATTGGTTTTTGTTTGTGGATGAAATATATTGGAACGGGGACACCAAGAGGGTCATGGAAGGATTTTGGATTGTGATGGAGTTGGGTTAATGAAAAAACAAACTTTCCTTTGCCCTCTCTGTTTATCAATTTTCTCTTCTCTATGTCTTTCTGCCCATCCTTGCCATTTGATTCGAAGGGGTGGGGGGGGGGGGGGGAGGTCACATGCCCTCTTCATAACTATTATGTCACTGATAATAAGTCTAACATACGTACCGGGTTTCTCGCAGGGAAGTTCTTGTAGAGAATGATATGAGGGTAGAGCTTGGATGAGCCCTCTGTCGCGGCAACTGCGAGACGGAAATCTCGTCTTGAATGAGAAAACGAACAATACTCCAGTTAGAACGGTAAATTATATTTATACTCTTTCGTGATTCGCCTCTGCAATGAATTCTTTTCCCGAGTAATTACTAGCACAGATTTGTTCGCACACTTCTGCCTGGAAACAAAATACGCATTAAATTCTCAAAATGATGAGAACTATTCAACTTTACACCTATTCATTTATGTTTAAGTCTCATGTGAGTAGTGATAAGTAGAAAAGGGTATAAACTGAACGAAATATGTTAAAATTAGAAGAAATATACCTCTTTCCTCTGTTTGTGAGAGTACGCCAGACTTCAATTCTAAATGGCGGTGGATCGGAGTTCAGTTCGATTATTCCATGTGTGCTGTTCTGGAGAGTCGAAAATTATGAAATATAATGTATGTCAGTGCTTTGAATTGAGGAATCATTTGAGCTGAATCACAGTTAAAATGTTCTTCAAAATGTGTTTTTAAACTGATATGGCTCAAAAACATTTCTATGGCTCTCCTAAATCGTATTATAAATAAATAATAATAATGATAATGATAATAGTAATAATTATAAAACTACTATCGATAATAATAATGATAATGATAATAATAGTAACGATGATAATAATAGCACTGACAACAACAGTAATAATAGTATTGATAGTAGTAGTAAAATAATAATAATAATAATAATAATAATACTAGTAATATTGATAAGAACATTAATGATAATAACAACAACAAAAACACTGATAAACCTGTTTTGTAGAGAGCATAACACTTTACTTAAGGATGTCCTCATGTATATAAAAAAAAATAAGAAAATGGAATTAGTATCTCTCGTACAGTATGACATGTACCATTCGCTGTCATCGAAAGTTCATGAAGCAGGGTAAATATAAAAACTTCAGCTGACAAATGGCATAAAAGTAGAACTCACCTCATATCTTTTCCAGGTCATTTTGGGTTGCGTCCACTCATCGGGCTGAACAAAATCAAATAAAAGAAACAAAATAGTGAATACAGAAGACATTTAATCAAGTTCTCCTTTCCACTAGGAATACTGCATTCCCAATTTCTTTTCTGAACTACTTTAAAACTTAATTTATGGGAAAGTAGATATAGGATACAAAGCAATTGATTTTTATCACCATTATCGTCTGCAAGATGGGATGATCCCTATGAAACAAAATATTCCGCTAAATAACCTATCCATTTTTGTCGTTTATATTGATTTTACGGAGAATGTACGACTCATCGATAACGCCTAAAAAAGATGTAAGTTTAATTGCGAAGGATAATCAAGTTCTCGTCGCTCGCCTCATCCTTGTTCATGAGTTTGAAAAACATTTATTCCCCTGCGTTTCTACACTACTACAAAGTGGTGTATCTGTGGTCTAGAAAGTTACAGCGCACTAGTGTCATTGGGGGGGGGGGGGGGGGGGGTGCCGGGAATATTTTTGGAAGATGAAATGTTAAGAACAAGGAGAAACAGTGAGGGGAGGCTATATAGATTGTATTACATTCTTTCTCGTTTCCTTTCATCTTTGTTCCTCCCTTTTTCTGCCTTTCAATATATATATATATATATATTTTTTTTTTTTTGGGGGGGGGGAGGGGTCTCCCATGCCCCCTACCACTCCATAGCATCTTAAACTTATTAATGTTTTGGCTATCTAACAAAACGTTGCCTTTTCAACAAAAGAGGAAAAGGAAAATACAAATATGTAGAAGGAGAAGAGGGAGAAAAAGAATGAAAAGAAAAAGAAGAAAGAGAAGAAGAAAAAGAAAGAGAAGAAGAAGAAGAAGAAGAAGATGAACAAGAGAAACTAAATATGCTCTGCTTACACAAATACACATTTTAGAATCATCCATCCATGTACTGAAACATTTCATGATTTAAGAAATATTATACCTCGGTGAGAGTTCTCATGAATGACGTCATCACAGTCAAGAGTTCGACATGATGCAGAGTGAGAGAGTGTTCACCGTTAGGAGTAATTCTATGTACATAAAACAACAACAACCACATAATGTTATGAAATAAAGACTCTTAATCATTAAACATTTCATCGCCAAGTCATTATAAAATTCCAGTTATTAATGTAATCCGTGTGATCATGAACAGTACACAGAGATGATTGTGAAAATGCTCCTGCAGTTCATGCAAAAACAGAAAATGATACAGTTTCTGGGAAATGAATAGCATATTTTGAGAGAGAGCGACTATATAAAATCATCTTCTGCCAAATGGCTACATTTACATCTTTTTACTGTACATTTGCAAGTTAACAGTTAAGATATTCTATCATAATGAGATGTGGATTCATTCCTGGAGCAAGCTGATCAGGATTGAGTAGATTGTTTGGTCCTAATTCTAATGGAGCAAATGTCATAATAATGCTGCTGTGGAACGAAGACGAAGGAAAATACGAGAAAAAAGATAATCAAGAGAGAGAAAGAGAGAGAGAGAGAGAGAGAGAGAGAAAGGGAGAGAGAGAGAGAGAGAGAGTGGGGAGAGGGGAGGAGCAGTCACATGACTAGTCACCTGAGAAACTTTGGTTCTGGAATCAGGTCGAAGTAATAGTAAGAATCATCAGGGAGGAAGAACTCATCTGATCCAGCTGTGATGATTAGCTTGGGCATCGTCAGTCGGTCCGCATAAGCTTTTCAGAGGGAAAGGTATGATACAGAAATGAAATCAATGTTGACGAACAAAACTCTATTAATAACCGATTAATGTGCAACTCATTTTTTTTTCGCGGCAGGTTCTGTCAGGAGATTAAGCATGATTTAACATAAATTTAGTCATGGTAGTGTTCAGATTATGCTGTGATTTTACCGAGACCATGCCTTCTCTGTATCTTTACACTATCTTTGTTTATTAATAAACAGCGATTGATAAAGGAACTACACGTCAGTTTTCTATGAAAAAGATAATATGGGAGTAAGGATGAATAAAATCTTCCGACGGGTCTCCCTCTGTTGTTCAATTTAAACAACTCGTTAATTATATAAACAGATTATGTTGTAATTCTTTATATTTCATAAACTAATTAATGTAATTATCACATGAAGAAAAATGCGTCGACCAAGGGTGAGAGAGGGAGTAGAAAGGGGAAAGGGAGGGGGAGGGGGGGGGGGGGGGGAGGGTTGAGATGCAGGGACAATTACCAATAATTTCAGTAATATTTTTTTTCCTGTGGAGTGTACATGTATTTACCGACTATAAATCCTTTTGCTCATACTCCTCTTCCCTTCATGAAAATGGACCAATGTCCTTGTACTTAGAGAACGGTCTTAACTACTTACGAAAAATCAACCTGAGGCAATATCAAAAGCCCTGCGCGTCATTTTTTTAAAATATGTGAATATGACAATGGGGTATTACGTATTCCGAATGTGATTTCAGATCTATAGGATGTACCATACCGTTTCAACATTGCCTTGAGCTTATTTTTCGAAAATAGTTGAGATCGTGTTTTAGGGAGATGTGAGGTCAAGATGTGAGGGACAGAATGCAATATTGATGACATGATAATGTTTTGTTTTAAATTAATTTTTTTTTTACCGAGGGGGTCAATGATGTCAGCCATCTTTTGAGTATTGGGGTCATCGAGATGGAGGGTGACATTCTCTGTGAAGTAGTCCTCAAAGGCAAAGGTCCATCCTCCCAAGGACCGGTACATGTGATGAAGATTCTGCAGGAACGACCACAAAAACATTAATCTTAGGAAATCTATAAAATTAATGCGAATGCGTTCGAATATGTATCAATATTTTAATGAAAAGAGAGTACAGAGCTACATGTATAAGAAAGATATATAGATAGACAACTTTGTTTAATAGAGATATAGAAATATTAATATTTAGACTGATAGATCAAGAGAGAGAGAGAGAGAGAGAGGGAGAGAGAGAAATCCAGGTCTATGGGTGCCATCTCAACAACCCTCTTGCCTACCAATCTTATCTCAAGTGCGAGTTAATGGTATACGCTATCTGGTTCGTAGGTTGGTTCTAGTTTCCGTATAAAAAAAGTATTTACACCAGCATGAATATTAACAATTATACTTATCATTTATCAAAAAGTAATATCACTGGATTGCTTTATTGAGAGCCATTTATTTTGTTCTACTCAGAGCACTGTGAACAGTGAGCCATTTTCATATCTAAACCCAAATTAAGAAGAACCTAGACCAAGGATGCAATACTAATAACCCTCCAATACCTTAACCATATTAAGAAGATCGAGGACCATGGGTGCGATCCCAACAACCCGTTTGTCCACTGCTCCCGTGGTCCATGTGGTCCAGCCTCTCTGTCAAACAGAAAAGAGGGGATAATTAATCAAGTTATCAAACAGAGACAATGTTAGACATATTATATAGGATAAGTAAATAGAATGAATAAAACAAATTGTATGAAACAACACCCATCCAGTTATCAAAATGCATATACAACATGACATAAATGTGCAGCCGAACGTACTTGCAAGACGATTATTTCATAGACTTCGACTAGATTAAACGTGTACATGAAATAAAGTACACAGTCGCTCATATAGTTGGAATATTTTTGTTTTACCCCTCTGTGTGCCCATGCCTTGAGCCACAATGCATGGCCGTCCAGAGGATTTTTTAATGTTGGGGACCGGGGTAAAATGCAATAAATTATTTAAAATTTATTGCATTTTTTGTTTTTTTATTTTATTTATGGAAACTGCCCCCTACCCTAGACCCCACTGCGTACGGTCATGGTTCAGTGACAAAGCAATGGCCTCGTAACCGTGAGGCCCCAGGATCAAAACCGTGTCGATGTGCTATATTAGTGCCCTTTTGTGGGGCATTAATCCTCATTACTGTCATTTATGACTTAAGTGCGTAGGTCCCCTTTGATAATCAAAGTAGCATACACACGCAAAACACACATTGTCAAATTATTATTCAATAAAATCTGAGAATGTATACTATTATGTAGTTTTATTATTTTTAAATTATTTTAAAAATAATTCCATAAATTGGGGTAAAACAAAAATATTCTAACTATATGAGCGACAGTGTACTATTATTTACAATTCGATTAATGTGACAGTTTTATCGGATTCATCCATGGTCCGAAGTTATCCACAAATAGCTTGTAATATGGGACTTCTTCATACAATACAATTTATGTTCATTAAATTAAAATCACACAAATATGTATTACCAACAAAATTGTATCCGTCTCTCACCTTAGAGGCTCCAGCTACCATAAACTTCGACACGTTTACCCCACGTACATTTGACACGTGATCAGTAATAGTATCCATAGCGCGAACCACTGCCTGTAAATTGCAAAAGACACCATAAATACTAAAAAATGAAAACAATGCAGTATTAATAATAATAATTATAATAGCTAGTTCTTATATAGCGCGTTTCAGGACGAAGGCCCTCTCAAAGCGCTTTATATATATATATATATATATATATATATATTGTGATTTTTGACATTATTCGTACATCACATAAACTGATGAGCTAATGAAAACATGTTGTCAAGTCTGAATCAACAAGTAAATTTTTTCTTTATTTAGCATTTGTCACTATCGCTTGGACTAATACGTGTACAGTGCAAAGGATTTTATATTTACACGTTATGACTCCCAACGAACTCATTACAAGGCTTTCTACAACGACAGCGGAGAGTGAAAACTTGATAAGTGTGTTTGTGTGTATGTAGGTGCGTGTGCGTGTGCGTGTGTGTGTGTGTGTGTGTAGGGGGGGGGGGGGGGGAGGAGGGGTTACCTTTGTCATGGGCATTCTCAACAACCAATAGGGTTCGTCCGTCCCATTCTCTACAAAATGGCGCCAGGTAAAGGCGATGATGGCGTCCTCGGTTCGCTTCTTCTGCAGTGGATCCGTCTACAAGATGAACAAACATTAAAAATCATCTTCAAAACAAATATAGAGTTAAATTCATGGGATTGCATTTAAAACCCATCTGAACTAGTTTACAGGAGGGATTAGACGACCCTGCAAGGTCACTGGACAGGTGGGTATCTCACCAAATTAGCTCTCAATTAACATAAGAAAAAGAGGATCATGGGGGACCAATGGTCACCGATTAGGCATTGTTTGCTATATAGAGGGCGCAAATAGCTATGAGTAGTACAGAGGGGCTTTAAAGAGGGATTATTCCGAATTGTGTATCTGGTATCATACACTTGATGGGTTCTTTGGACCGGCATATCTATTTTTATCGAAACTTGCTGGGAATCACTAAGGCAGTAAATACACTCAAATGACTGTTTTTTCTATAGCATAGCATTTCTTCTAATGAGGAGAGATTATATACAGAAACTTGAACCTCGTTATCATATACTATTCGTTATTATAATTATAATCCTTGGCTTTCTGATATCAAATTATAGACTGACATAAAACTCTATTGAGTGGGTTGATTCGCTGTGTTGCTGACCTGGCCAACTTTAGAGCATTAGAAATAACAATTATTGCTACGGTAGCTTGTAGTTTGTATTAAAATGCATCATAAATAAAATGTCGAGGTCTTGATTTTCCTTTCAATTTGTAATAAGAACATAAAATTAATTATGTCATCCGTGCCTTTGAATAAAATCCCTACAACGACACATAAACGGACATATCTATAAAAATAGAACATAGTCACTTTCATTGTAAATTGAACAACAAAAGTAAATTTACCAACTCACCTTAAAGACAATGGGTTGGTTTGGAACCTGCCTTAGAATAGCACCTATACTACAAATAGAAAGCAAACGTTTTTCAAAGATGTTTATGGGGTGAACACCGTATATATTATAACAATGCAAGTGCTGCACATAAAGAAAACAAATCAACTCTTTTAAAATGTCTTATTCAATGCATGTTTGATGAAGATGACTTGATCTTTAGAAATTGCTTCAGACATATTTGTCCTTCGCTTTTGTGTGTAAAGTAGTTCTACTTTTTTGTTATGCATTTTTTTTTTACATGATGTTGAATCAGTTATTAAGTTGATATTACAAATAATAAACCGAAACTATTCTTTTCCCTGCGTTAATCTGTTATCATGCGATTCTTTTCTTCACGCAATGTAATATGCAGTGCATTCACCCCCTCTTAAAAATCTTAATACATCACTCAGGTGATAAGTGTTATTAATTACATATTCCTTTCGGAATGAAGTTGATATGACAAATAATATACCGCTACAATTCTTTTCCCTATGTTAATCTGTTGTCATGCGATTCTTCTCTTCACGCATCTCCTCTTAAAAATCTTAATACACCACTCAGGCGATACGTGTAATTAATTACATATTCCTTTCGGAATGAAGTTGATATGACAATATATACCGATACAATTCTTTTCCCTGCGTTAATCTGTTATCATGCGATTCTTTTATTCACGCAATGTAACTGAACATCTACATGCCTACATCTCCTCTTACAAATATTAATACATCACTAAGTGTTATTAATTACATTTTTCCTTGTAATGAACTCTTATAAGCACTACTAGCGGAATCCTTTGGAAGATTATTATTTAACATTACCATGTCACATTACGAAGTATTAAGGAAAATGAAACCGAGTAACAACCACTAGCTGAATACAAACATGTTTAGGTACTTACCACCCCGCACCAACGGCCATAAAAGAGGTTAAAAGAGTCTCTTGATCCTTCAGAGGGTCGGGGGGACTGCAATATATATATATATATATAAATCGATTGAATACAACGGTAATTGTTATTGATTACCAACAAACAAAAACTCATTAATTGAGAGTGAAAACATGTAACACAAAGTAGGTCAAGTAATTAAATAATTCATTATAAGAAAATGATTTTTTTTGGTAATTTAATAATAGACCAAACAAATGATCAATCGAATTCAATCAGTCAGTCAACCAACCAATCAACAACTAAATCACTCAATTAACTACACCAAAATTGTCAGGTTATCAGTGGAAGTAATGGTCAGGTAACTTATCAATCAATAAACCATTCAAGCATTCAATCAATTAATCAATCAATCAATCAGTCAGTCATTCAATCAATCAATTCATCAATCAATCAGTCATTCAATCAATCAATCAATCAGTCAATCAGTCATTCAATCAATCAATCAATCAATCAATCAGTCAATCAATCAATCAGCAGACCAAGTACTCGATCGTTCAATCCATGAGTCAATCAATTAAACCATCAATCAATCAATCAATCAGTCAATCAATCAATCAGTCAATCAATCAATCAGCAGACCAAGTACTCGATCATTCAATCCATGAGTCAAGCAATTAAATCATCAATCAATTGATCAATCAGTCAATCAATCAATCAGTCAATCAAGCAATCAGCAGACCAAGTACTCGATCGTTCAATCCATGAGTCAAGCAATTAAATCATCAATCAATTGATCAATCTTTCAGTCCACTAAACAGTCAATCACTCAATCAGCAGACCAAGTACTCGATCGTTCAATCCATAAGTCAATCAATTAAACCATCAATCAATTGATCAATCAGTCAATCAATCAATTAGTCAATCAAGCAATCAGCAGACCAAGTACTCGATCGTTCAATCCATGAGTCAAGCAATTAAACCATCAATCAATTGATCAATCAGTCAATCAATCAATCAGCAGACCAAGTACTCGATCGTTCAATCCATGAGTCAAGCAATTAAACCATCAATCAATTGATCAATCAGTCAATCAATCAATCAGCAGACCAAGTACTCGATCGTTGAATCCATGAGTCAAGCAATTAAATCATCAATCAATTGATCAATCTTTCAGTCCACTAAACAGTCAGTCGATCAATAAAACCAACGAGCATTCATTCAATTTATCAAGCAAGCAAGCAAGGTGTGAATCAATGAATGAATAAATCAGTAATTAAATCAGTAATTATATGTTTATAAAGAAAGAAAATGTGTTTCTATATACCCTCCACGATTAGATCCGCCTGTCACATATAGGGCGGCATGGCCAGGATGGGTTAGCTTATCCGGGACAGTGATAGTCAAGTAATGCCACCAGATGGCCGAGTCAGAATCATTGTCTGCAGTAATGAAAATATCAACATAATCATGATTATTCATGGTGAGATTAGATGAGAGAGTGTTTCCACCTCGAGCGGATCGAGAAATGCGAATTAAGAAGTAGAAATAAATATATAGATTGACAAAAAGAGAGTGAGAGAGAGTGATACAGACAATAAAGGAGGAAAATGGGTATAGAAATGTTGAGTGAGAGGAAGAGAAGAGAGAGAGAGAGAGAGAGAGAGAGAGAGAGAGAGAGTAAGAGGGAACATAGATAGATAAGATATGTATTCGTAGAGAAATATAAGTGGGTTAATCATATATTGAGAGAGAGAGAGAGAGAGAGAGAGAGAAAGTGAGAGTGTGTTTGCGTGTGTGCGTGTGTGTGGTGTGTGTTTATGACCTAAATCATCTAAATTAACACGAACAAATGTAGGAAATATTATAATTATGATTATGAAATTCTCAATGTGGACATTATCACAAGTATTTTTGACTGGAATTTAAAGAAAAAAATCTTTTAGAAAATACAGTTAACTTAAATACTCCTCTTTAAATGATTCCTTAAACTAAAAGAGATGAGTTGGCCTAGTCGGTAAAGTGTCTGTCTGTCGAATCAAATATCGTGGGTTCGAATCCAACGCAGGCGGATGACTGAAGCCTGAGTCGTGTTTTAACGTGCCCCATCCTCTGTTTCAGTCATGCAGGCTAGGTTACAGTGAAAAAAACCGTCCCTTGGATAGGAATTTAAATGGTGGCCCCTTATAGAGGGGAGTCACCACATTTGCACGTTAAGAACGCCCTGCACTAATTCGTATAAGAGTAGGGGAAACCTCGGTGTAGTGGTCCATCTGCCCACATGCACACCCCTAATCGGTTTTACCAGGAGAAGAAGAGCCCCGAGAGTTACATCGATTCAGTTTGCTTTTCGCCTCCATGACATAAATAATGTCTATTCTTGTTAAACTGGTATTGTTAAACAAAAGGGCGATACTATCTGATCTAATTAAAAACTCCCTATTCCGGCTTTTAATAATGGTATCTATTTATTATCAGTCCCTCGATAAATATTATCTGATGTACGAAGTATGAAACAACAAATGCTAATTAGCAGGATAAAACCTAATTCAAAACTGAAAGTTCAATACTATAATGCATTTCCTATCCGTGTCAAACGAGTCTCAATTTGATTCGGTTCAACATTATTTTGAAAGCAAATGCTTGAGTTGGACTGGAATCGTCATAATTCAAATTCTACATCTTTAGCTAATACGATAAGGAAGGAGAGTCTGGTAGAAACTGTGAAGCAGCAGAGTGATGGCCAAAGAAAGGAAAACGGGTAGTGGTCGCTTGTTTATAAAAAACGGTCCTACAAGTTTTGTGGATTGTTACGTACTTTTTAGGGAATGTGATTGGCACACGATTGTAACTTGATAAACAAAAATCTACTCACTAGCAATTTCAATACCTTATTTTACGACCCATTAAAATCATATTCGGATTACTAACTCGTTATTGTCATGTTCGCAAAGTTCAATAGGTGAAGCACAAGGCTATTGAAAATACCTTAGGTTGATTATCGTGTTGCTTTCGTATTTAAGTAGCATGTGTTTGCTAGTTCAAAGGCAATTTTGCCGGTCAAAACAACACATCTACTGCATGATAAACGATTTAGAGTAACTTTTAAGCCAATTTTGCTCAAAAATATAATTCCATTTTAATATCAACACTGAAATTAGCTATACAAACCCCCATTCACTCCGCCAAACCGATACCATACAGATCATTAAACAGATAAGGTATTGCCCATTGGGGTTTTGGTGTTGGTGTCGATTTGTGCATTATTGTAGAGCGCTTAGAGACTTCTGACAAAGTAAGTGTTAGACGCTATATAAGCACTATAATTATTATTATTATTATTATTATGGTGTAATTGAAATATAATGTTGATGTTGTGTATAACTTACATGTGAGCCATTTCTGTGACGTCATGTTGAGGACATAGGCGATGTACTCCCCGTGTACTCGATGTTCGCTCAGGACTTCGAACTTGTAGTGAGAGTCCGGCATGCTGACATAGTCGTCCAACGGTGTTGCCACCACCGTGGCTGCCACACAGCAACACATCGCCACCACAAACAACTTAACTCCCGCCATGCTTGGAGTCAACGTCCTTTGCAGCTAGGCGACGAATCTTGTTTTTAAAAGTACAAGTCTCTAAAAAGTAGCCGCTTGAAGTTGGCCCCTAAAGTTAATAGTCCGTCCAACTTGTAAACGGGAATCAAATCAAATCTAGGGTTCCGCAAATCAAGGGTATATCGTACATTGGTCCATGGAACGATGAAGATAACAAAATCAGTTAGATTAACACGAGCAATATCATATGATAATTGTACAACGATGAAAGATTGGACAAAAATAACTCATTTTAATCTCTCACTGAAGTCCAAATTCATCCACTTCACCTTAGATCTGAGCACCACTTAGATCGATACCATGTCGCTTGTCTCTCAGGAACGAGGAGATCAATTTAGAACTGATAAACTTCCTTGATAAATATTGCAGACCTTTAGTCGTAAGATCACATGCGAGAAGTAGAACGCAGATCGCTGAACCTAGATGCGAAGATACAACCGTTAACGAAAATGATGTGTTTACTAACTAACCAATTGGAGGATTGACAATCAAATTAATATAGAGGGAGACTCTATCACTGGTTCCTATATAGTTACAGCGCCTACGATCCTTTACTCCGGCTAGCTAACGATTCGTATTACGCGTGTGCATGGACTTTAAATACCAAAGTCAAATATGAATAGTAGGCATATAAAAGGCTAGTTTTGCTGCTTGATAGCTTCCGTTCAATAAATCCAGTTCAACTTCCTCGCCTTCATGTTAGAAATAATAATACACCATGACGAAAAGATTGTTGTTGTAAAGGCTGTGCAAATAATGAAAAGGTTTGGAATATCCCGTTTTATAGAAAGCTACATGTTGTGAGGGAAAGAGGGAGGGAGAGAGATAGAGAGAGAGAGAGAGGCGGAAATCAAATAGAAGATTGAAGTATACTGAACGCGTTATTTTCAGACACAGTGGGCGGTATGGAAATCGTTCAAATTTGGCAAGAAAATCCCCCGTTTCCCCCTGTATTTCACAATATTTTTCCCGAATACAACCAAATCTCCATTAATTTGTACCTTCGAAAATATAAGAGTTCGCTCTGCCAATATTCTTCCCAACTAGGTTGATAAGTGAACCCTAGATTGATAGTACATGCATGTATACTATCATTAGAACACGCCTCTTCTATAGTAAATATTGACATATGACAAGCACCTAAAGATAGTAAGTTAATTTGTTGATTATTTATACCGTGCTGTTGTGAATCCTTATTTAGGTCACGCGATCTTTGTCACAATACATTGCAATAAAACCTCAGTCACACCTGCAAACCGACGCCAAACCGGCTTCAGACAGACGGTTTGCTGGCCTTCGGGGGTTATGTATGTAATCTTTTTTTGGTCTGTTGTCGGTTTGGTGACGGTCTCGCCGGTGTGACTGTGGTGTGTTATCTCAGTTACATCGCCAAACCGACTCCAAACCGAGCGGTTCTTGGCCACTCGCGGTTTTGCAAACTTTCCGGTTGCTTGTCGGTTTCGTGACGGTCTCATCGGTGTGACTGAGGTATAATACCACAGTCACCGGCAAAACCGACACCGAACCTAAACTGACCGATTCTTTGTCATTCGGGGGGTATTGCCATTTTGTTCGGTCTGTGGTCGGTCTGGTATGGTATCGGTCTCGTTGATGTGACTAGGGTGTAAATCTAATACTAATCTAAGTGTTCACACGATATGTTTTATTACGCACCTTTCAAGCGTGTGAACGTCAGCACAGTTGAACTGTAAGTTTAAAGTTGTGAATTAAAAAGAGTTTTACTGAAAATATTGCACATTTTAGCGACACAAATCTACGAAGTGGGCCACATTTTCAACGAATACAAGTAAAATCAAGCAAAGGTTATATGACCGCGACCGTGACTTATGATTATATTGGATGATAATCTTGTCAGACAGGTACAATGCTAAGTTTTGTCAAACAGACCTGAAACTAATGAATAATCCATATCAATAAACAAAAAGCAGGCGAAGAAGAAGAAGAAGAAGAAGAAGAAGAAGAAGAAGAAGAAGAATAAGAAGAAGAAGAAGAAGAAGAAGAATAAGAAGAAGAAGAAGAAGAAGAAGTAGAAGAAGAAGAAGAAGAAGAAGAGGAAGAGAGAGAGAGAGAGAGAGAGAGAGAGAGAGAGCAAATTCTACAAAGTAAAATGAATGTGAAGTTCGTTTGCACGGAGTAACAAACGACAGATGGCGTATTTCAAAAACATATTGCTGTAATTATTGACTAACAATAAGCATTTACAAATATGACGCGGAAGTGTCCTTCCATTTATAGCATTAAAAACGAATCCTGACCATTTTCATGAACATTACTACCCCCCCCCCCCCCATCGCTGCAATATTGCAAATGGATAAGGAGAGAGAGAGAGAGAGAGAGAGAGAGAGAAAGAGAGAGAGAGAGAGAGAAGAAAAAAATAGTAAGCAGGCATGCTTTTAAAAAATATACAGAAATGACACGTTCTTTTTTTTTTGGGGGGGGGGGGGCAGTGTATTCTAAGAATCGCTTCGTATAGAGTGTTATTTAACCACTTATTTGGAGTGGAGTGGATTCAACTCGAAGATAATTGACTCCAGATATGAATCCTAAAAGTGGATGTCCACCCCTCTGCATAAAGAATGTAGAAGTCGAGAGTGAGAGAGAGAGAGAGAGAGAGAGAGTGTGTGTGTGTGTGAGAGTGAGAGAGAGAGAGAGAGAGAGAGAGAAAGAGAATGATGAGGGGGGGGGGTGATATTGGCAGAAACACACATGAAAGAGGCATTGACAAATAACGATCTATAGACTTACTCTGTACATTTCAAATATAAAGAATTTAATGCATAATTTCGAGGAATAAAATTTCATGATAATACAGTTCTCATAATGATAATATTCATATACATTACTGACACACATACACTTCAAAGCTACTTTATACACATTTTTACTACGTAATTGGCTACCCAAAATTCATCAAATTTTAGTACTTTCGATTGATAATGAATAAAACCATCACTTTATACATAGATAATGACATACAAACAATGTTTACAAATAATCCTGTATATATTTGATCGATGTCATTCGTACAATAAGATCATATTACATATACATATCTCACACATACATTTATCCCCCAAACCTAAGTGGTGAGCAAAATTGAATTGTTAGTAAATCATTAATGAAATATCTCGAGTGAAAAATGAAAAAAGATTACATACTAAAGGCTATTAAACAACTTATCATTTCCTATTACGTATTAAAAGACGATTACAAGACCTTTGCCAAGACTTCAATACAAAATGAGTAAAGTTTGATACATGACTTTGCCTTAATTTGATCTTTTAATTTTGTATAGATATTGTTTACTTATTATTAAAGAAGAAAACAAAAGAAGAAGAAAAAAAGAAGAAGAAGAACAAAAGAAGAAGAAGAAGAAGAAGAAGAAGAAGAAGAAGAAGTAGCAAAAGAAGACGTAGCAAAAGAAGAAGAAGAAGAAGAAGAAGAAGAAGAAGACGGAGGAGGAGAAGAAGAACATGAGGAAGAAGGAGAAGACGAAGAAGAACAAAGAAGGAGAAGAAGAAGAAGACGAAAAAGAAAGAAAACAAAAAGAATGAGCAGCAGTCCAGTCTCGTTATAATCATGATAATAACCACGTACGACATATTTATTTGAGTTTTTGAAAACCGCACATGTGCCAAGACTAAACATTTGTACAGTGAATTAATTATGCATTAGTCATGTACACAAGTGTCCATTACCAATATTATTTAAATCCAATACACTCTTATTTAATAATAATTCTACTGCATTATGCCCAATTTACTGTCCTTATTTACATGACAAAACTGGGGGCATTTGTATGGCAACTTACAAACGTGCTAGAGTTGATATTGCCACCATCACTTGACACATTCCCAAATGTACTAAACCTGTTATCTTCTTCCAATAAATTTCAATCAGTATTTTACGAGAATACTTTAAAGTTCATTAATTTTACGAGGCTTGACAGCGTAAATACATCGGTAAAGATATGGTAAGTAATACACGTTGCGAATCCAGATTGGGGGTAGGGAGGAGAGGGGCGCCTACTCTTTGGGATGAGGTTTTGAGCGCACCCCTTCTCCAACACACTACTATACCTGCATGTTTACACATTTCCAAATATATTCCCCCCAATATAATGTTGTCCAATGATTGACATTGTGGATCCAGGTCCAATATTTTTGTCATAGCATAGTTGTTAAATACGCACTTTGTAAACCTGCACATTGTTGAAAGTACCGTAATAATCTGCTGACTGTCTAGACAATGTAATCTCAAGTGTGTGATTACACAATTAGAATGATCATTAACCATATTAGTAAATGATATTCACCAAATAATATTTCTGTTAGGCATATATTTCGATATTGCACAAATTTTTCAACCGCAATGAGACTCTAATCGCAGCGAAAAGAACAATTCAGAAATGTAACTTATGTAATTTATGACCTATACGCTTGCAGTTCATCATATATAATACATTACACATCTATACATATCTCATAACTTACATTTCGTAGAAATGACCTTAATTTTGAGACACAACATCAAACAAATTGCACGAGAACAGAAATTTAAGATCGATTCACAGTGAAACTCAACCGGCGGGAAAAAGAGTTTTATGGAAAAAGTCCTACAATCATTTTGGCCTTCTACCAATCCCCTTTCCCCAGCAGAATCGCCCACCTTTCTTTCCAACATGTCACTCTTTTCTGTCCGCGCATACTACTTTTCCGATTTCACTTCTGATAATTTGGTCCATACCCAGCTCTTTGTAGCAGTGACGTCATGAGTTACGTCAGCATTCACACGAAACTGCCCGAACACGATGTGTGTTTTTAGTACTAGAAACTCAACAGATAAAATGACTTGAAGTTAGAATGGTTAATATACAGGGATACCAGATATGTGTGCAAGATATTTATTAAAATATCCAAAGTACATGGTGAGAGTCAAAAAGAGTTAACTCTATGTTAGCTCCCTTCTGCCTTTAAACCGACGGCGGAAACACCATGTACGACATTCAATAACGCCTGGAGCAGAGCCTGAAAAGACACACAACATGAACATCTGGCATCCCTGCAAGACAACGAACATTTACTACTCATAAGAAAGAATACTTTATACTTCACGTAAAAAGGTTAAGACTGTCTTGTACAAATACTGCCTATTATTACCTATACAAGGCATTTTAGCTGCTAAATAAAAAGTCGTATTTTGCACGCTGCTCCGAATATGAAACCGGAGCGGTGAATATTTGCCATATTGCCCTCTTCCGGGTTTGCCCGGTAGACCACTGTACCAAATCAGAGGGCAATATTGAGCCATATTCTACTTGTCAGTGCGCTTTACGCGCAGTATTGTGTAGGCGTTAAAGTGTACGCGCGGTAACAATCATTGTTACATCACAATTACATACCTGCGTGAATAACCTGAAATCAGATGGACCGGCAAACAGACGGGAGTAAAAATCAAGATTGATACCAAAGTTGTATAGGCCCCTATCAATAATTTGCTTAAAAACGCCTTGTTTAGGTAATAATAATTATATTGACAGGGCTTCTTTCGGGGTACATCAGAAATATTGACCGCGCTAAGACCATATTGCCCTCGTCTTCGACTCGGGCCTATATGATCTTAGCTTGGTCAATATATCTGATATACCCCTCAAGCACAGTCAATATAATATAAATATTGCATTACAACATTCTCTTCTAACAACAAAGAAAATTTTGTTTTCATCGCTGAACATCCTTTAAGAAAGGACCGACTTTTCAACTATAAACGGTCTTATAAAAGCTTACTGCAACTTTAAGGGCAATTTGAAGAATAACCCTAATGTGGTCATGATCAAAGTTTCTAATTCCATAGGAAATGTTGTTACATTTCTAAAGAATTAAATTTTCAATGAAATGAGTCTTACCATTCTCATTCCTAATACCTATTTTGTTAAAAACGAGCATAAAGTGTTGTGAGTAGCATGAACTTATGCATTTAAAAACACGACATTTCTCCTTATTTTGCAGGTGTATTTAACGATTATATCATCAAGATAATACTAGCATCTTCTGTACTAAAGGAAATAACCTTGAAAGAGAAATCAATGATTAAGATACAGTGTTATTATATTAATTTACACTTATATCAGGTTTTTAAGTGTCCACCTTGCTTATCACTGTTCATCTAAAGATTAAAAAAAAAACGATTATAAATAATAACTATCCTGTTGAAGCCGAAAAGAAGTCACCTTGCGTGTTCCACCAATGTTAATGATGCCCTCTCAATCTCTTAATTGGATCATGTTTGCACAGGCCCCTTCGATAAATTCCTTCTTGTCTCGGTGGTCACGTAGGGCCAGTACTTCTGCTCAACGATGAGGGCGTCAGTTATCATGTCGTTGTTGACTGTCGTTAAGAAATCCTTAAAGCTCACAAACAGAATAAAAACATTTTGTCTTCCACAGTGAAAGGTTCTTCGATGCAGATGGATTAAAACTTTTAGAATGTGTTAATCCATAATCATACACACTCCATACTTATTCACCGCGAATCGCAACGAAATGGATATATGTACATATATGTGGACTGAAACACGTATCCAATGAATGTGATTACACAGGTAAAACATAAACAGTGCTGTCATCCGTTTCCAATATCAGGGCATAAATCTGAAGAATATTTTATCAATTGCCATGAGTTCGGCAAGAAAGCATAACAGTGAGTGCATCAACACAAGAGAACAACATCCCGTAATAGTTTACTCATAATAACATAGTACTGTGCTTTTGAAAGTCACATGAGTTTATCGGGGGTTTCTTGCGGAGACCCTCCTTCTGCAGTCAATGTTTAGTTACAGCGCCCTCATACGACGGTCTCCACTTCGTTGTCAAGGAACCCTTCCTTGATCTGGCTGTTACTGTTTCTGCTAGAGTAGTCCAAGGCACTGTCGTTTAGCCTCTGTCGCTTGTCTAACAGCGAATTCGTGCACGACGACAAATCAACCTTTGCCTCGCCGCTATCGTTCCTGTCGAGGTGTCCCAGTAACCGGTCCGTTACTTTGGGCGAGTTTTCGTTCGAGTTGTTAAGCTGGCTGAAGTCAATGAGGGTCGAGTTGGGAAAGTGGTTTGGTGTGCCACCGTGACTGCCGGGTGCGAACATGGAATGCGGTCTCTGGCGATCTACGCCGGGTTGATCCGGAAAGGGTTTCATGACGTCACGACACACATTGGGATTGGCAGGACGGCCATCGGCTTCCAATCGCTTCGCGAATGGCTCCTTTTGCGGCTGCGCGCTGATCTTAGAATGGCGGTTCGAGTGGTTCCCGTGCGTTGAATCGAAAAGGCCTACGGTGGCGTTTTCTTCTGCTGTGCGGAAGGGTGAGCTACGGCGGTACGATGGATCGGCAGAGATCAGCCAGTACGTGACCAGTTGCCCTTTGCCCTTCATGCTTATAAGGCCACGTTCTTCCACCACAAATCCTCCCATTTGTTCCAGAAGATTCTTCGTCTCTGAGCTGGTGTGGATCTTCAGGGCTGTAAAAAAAAAAAATGGAAAAATCACCGATCATCAACAAGCTAAACAAAAATTGGTTCGTGATCGAATAAACAAAGAAATGTCGAAAAGACTGAAATACTGTATTCTCTTAAATTAGGCATCATAGTTCATATGCCTTGAAGGAAGATATTTGTGAAAGTACATCACTCGTATCCATTCAAACCCAAGTTCAATATTCTCAAACCTACCTCATGATTTCTTAATCCTTTACGAACTTTTGTCGTCATTGTAGTAGTTGATTCATTTGATTCTGTAAACGGCTCAGTGTTATCATTTTGATGATTGAAAATGAGCTGTTGTCAGAATATCCTATGGTTTTACAAATCGTCAATGCTCCAAAGCAACCCTTGGTTATTTAGGAGTCATTACCCATATTCTTAGTGTCGTAATTTAAAGTATGATTAATGATGAATCCATCCATACCTTCTCCATTAGATTCCATCCTGGATGCGGTATTGACGGTATCTCCAAAGAGACAATATCTGGGCATAGTCAGACCAACAACTCCAGATACCGTTGATCCTAAGACCACACATAAAAGAAAGACAAAACAGGTAAGTCACATGAAATGTTGACAGAGAATTAGGAGAGAGAAAAGGGATTATCCCAGCAATCACACAACGCTCACAAAGCGTTCACAAAACGTCCAGGGACGTTAATACGTTTCGAGTACGTTTATTTACGTCCCAAGACTGTTTTACGTTCTCTGGTCTGGGAGGGGAAAGACAAAACCTAAGTTTTTGAGGGTCACTCAAATTAAGTTTTGTACTGTGGCTATGCTGCTAAATGAAATACAGCACCTCTACATTGCATAAAGCAGGAATCGACTATTAAAAGCCTCAACATTAGGCCTAAAAAAGAAGATGTTTTATCGCCCTTTAGGTGCCAAAACATGGGTCGGTCGGTCGGTCGGTCGGATCGTTTTGTTTTTTAAAACTTTTATCCTTCTTTTTTTCCTCTTTGGGCTGATATTCTCAGTATTGAATGCTTTAATACATATTTTTCTTAATTCATTAAACATTATTTTCCTAAACAACGGTAACAAAAAAGCCGACCGTAGATTTCACGATTTTGGGGTCGGTCGCAAAGGGCAATACAACATCCCTTTTTTGAACGTCTTACCGATACATTACACCCTAATTTCGGGAGCTTCACATCGGAAGAAGAAAGGCAATATATTAGCCACACTCCACCCAGGTGAGGTAAATGGGTACATTGGACTAATTATTTCCTTAAACTGCTCAGGCGTTGTAATTCCAGTCGTTTTATATAAAGGGTAATGTGCCAGAGATGAGCGCTTTACAATATCCCATTATGATTATTGTTATCATAATGCGAACAAAATAGGTTCATACACATATTTAATGGTTGGAATTATGTATTTTATAGATTTGAGTAAGCTACTGATGGAGCTTGGAACTCGAAATTCAAATAATTTTTGGTTAAGTATCTTGTCACCACCTATATACAATTACCCCAGGGAAATTACCTACATAGGACAAGTATGTCAGGTATAATTTTGTCACACCCAGGACCGACCCCAGACCGACAGCAAACCTGACAAAAATTACTTTGCTTCACAAGAGTCCGACGTCATTGTCGGTATGGAGTCGGAGTGGAGTCGGTTTGGCGGTGTCATTAACATCTTAAACGTTTGCTTTAACCTTCGTAACACATCAACGATTATGTCATATCTGAGGAGATCTCACCTGAATGGATGCCTATCCTCAATTTGAGGTTGACCTCCGGACGATGTCGAACCTTGAAGGCCTTCACATCTTCGAGCAAGTGGAGCGACGTCGAGGCGATCTCGGCCGCGTGCTTCTTCTCGTTCCGGAGAGGAAGTCCAGAGACGAGCATGTAAGCGTCGCCGATGGTCTCCACCTTGTAGACATCGTAGTAGCTGATGATCTCGTCGAAGAGCGTGTAGAGGTCGTTCAGCATATCGACCACCTGTTCATAAACGGAAACATGGGCATGAATCGACCACGTCATGATAGTTTCAATCATGGCAATAAGCATTAATTAACAACTGCGTTTTGCTTAAATTTTCCGAATGTAGATAAGCATCAAGACATCATTGGTACATCTATCTATATATCCGTCTGCATTCAGAATGTTCTTACTTTATTTAACTTCCAATTGTTCCAATTGGGTGCCATTTTCTGTATTTACATGTATCTCTCATGTAACCTTTGGTCTAGTCCTTACAGTTCACTCCTGATACTACACTTTGCCAATGTTTACTGTTGTCCCACTGTCTGTCGTAAGTCGTAATTCCCCACGACTCTCTCTTTCATTTCACGTTGCATTTTCTTATCATGCCGATATAGCGACACAGTATGGAGAGCGTTCGTGATGCAGACATGACTAATCACGAATGACGCAAATGGACAGAGCCATATTATTATCATTATATTTTAAGCCCCACTGTACTAGTTTGGCCAGGAGGGATTAGACCTCCCTGCAAAGTCACTGACAGGTGGTTACCTCATCAAATCAGCTCACAATTAACATAAGAAGAAGAGGATCATGGGGGACCAATGGTCACCGCTTAGGCATTGAATGCTATATAGAGGGCGCAAGAAGCTACAAGTAGTGCAGTGTGGCTTTAAGGTATATGTACTCTCTGTTTCATAATAGTGATAATACCTCGAACGGTGTGCTTTCTGAGGACAAACTGGTGAAGCCGACGATATCACTGAAGAAGATGGTGACACATTCGAACGACTCTGGGACTACCTGCATCCCACGCTTCAGCTGGTTCGCCACAGGCCTGGATTCGCAAGAAAAAAATATGTAATGAAATTACTCATATTTTTTCCTTAGCAAATATTATAAAGACGATCATAACTACTTTTGAATAAAAAAAAATCAACTCAAGGGCAATTCCTCTACCCTATTGTATATCATATTGGATTCATGTTGTGATTACGTAATACCCCATTTTGATATTCGCGCACTTTAAGAAGGAATAGATAGGGCTATTGAAATTGCCTAAAATCTTTTTTTGAGATCGGGTTTATAGAGATACAGGGAATGGAACAACAACTGAAATTGCAATAAATGAAAAGGAGATAAATGGTGCTTCAATTAAGTTTACATTTAACGACCGTGTCGAGAGAGACAATTGCAGATGAAATAATACATTTATTAGGACATGAATGGTTTGCGAGAAGTCGAACTATCAATATTTCGCTTGATTGTCATGCGAACGTACGACTATACTCAAAACACCACCTATTGAATATTCAACATATCAAAGAGTATTCCTGGACAATGAAATGCCTTTTTTGGTGCAGTTCGGGCAAGCAATGTGGCCTTCCAGTGTTGATTGTTTGGTAAAATAATGGTATCAACTTTATACCATACCGAATCAGAAGAACAGGGGAGTGTTTCACAACGACTAAGATCGACTGATGAACTTAGCTATGGCAGGCCATTCATACCACTGGTTGCTCTCACTATTGGTCTTTCAATTATGATCTTTAGATAATGTTTTTCTTTCAATAATGAACTATCAACAAATGTAAATTCTGTAGATTTGCAACAAACGATTTATACGACCCTTCAGAAACCAATGCCAGTAAACGGTAAGAGCAAACGGTGGCATGAACGGCCTGTCATAGTTAAGTCCAACTTAAAGTCCATCTTAGTCTTCGTAAAAAATTCCCCTGTTCTCCTGACTCAGTAGTGTATAAAGTTTATACCATTAGTTTACCAAACAATCAACACAGATGGGCCATATTGCGTAGTCTTCGTGAAACACTACCCAGGTTACTTACTTTGGTAGCATCTGATGGAGAAGGTTATCCGTTTTCTTCTTCTCTTCTATAAGTTGGTGGGTCCTGTCCTCCACGATGTCTTCCAGGTTATTAGCATATTTCTCCATGATGACGATCATGTTGTCCAAGATATTCGGCTTCCTGAAAAGAGAAACCACAATATAGGACTGACATACATCGCAATAAATATATATTATACACAATCTCATTTGCTTTATATACACTGTTGGTCATAAAGGTAGAACAAACACTCACAAATTATTATTCAATAAAATCTGAGAATGTATACTATTATTTAGATCTATTAGGAATAAATCAATGTCAAAATCATTCCATAAATTGGGGTAAAAATAATTATTCCACCATTATGACCAACAGTGTACATTGTAGAATAAAATACATCATTTAAATCATCATTAAAATCAGCCTCCTTAATTATGAACAAATTTTTTTCTGAACCTTTACAGATATGTTTATGTCTTCTAGCATACAAGCTTTTCTTTAACTGTACAATATGATATTAAATCGCTGTTTATTAAATTAACATGAAATTTGTATTTTTGTATTTATTAACATTTATTTCCTTCTCAACAGTACAGTATGAAACACAATGTATATATACATGATTATGTAACAATTATTTCAACATAGAGCATACAATAAATAATTCAGATACGGAAGGAGGCGAGAACCCGGAAAGCATAGCTTGAGTTGGGAACGCCCATAATAAATTAACACAGATATGATGATTAACGCATCGTTCCAATAAATTTTGTTTGCAATTCATGGAAATCTAAGTGAAAGTTAAAGATAGATCTGAGTAAACTTGATATTAGCACCCTCAGCAATCTTTTACAGGTGACGCCATTTTCTTTCTTTGCTTTTGCTTGGAGGAAAGCTGTCGGCAAAATGTTTCGCTAAAATCAAACCGAAACTTACTCCCACCCTGAATCAAAATGTTCTACAAAATTGTTCTTATAATGCCTTTGACCGTCAAAGTTGTTAACGCTGCATCAACTTAGGAGGCGCGATAGCTCACTTGGTAGAGCACTGGTCTCGTAATCCGGCGACCTGGGCTCGAAACCAAGGGGATTCGCTAGTGCCCTTTGGTAAGGCATTAATCCTTATTACCAGGTCTCTCGGAGAGGACCTATAAACACGCCGTCGCGACGCGTCGGTCCTATGGTTACCTTCTAACAAACATTTATGCTTTCGTAGCAGTCAGGTAAAATAACCTACACTAACCACCACCATTACTTACATTCCCTTCTGCAGCGGCTTGAGTCTTGTGGTGAGGGTCTTGACTTCCGGTCTTTCATCAGGGTTTTCGTTCCAGCACTCCTGCATACCAGTCAGCATGCAGTTCGGACAGTCATCAACCTCCATCACGTTGGGTCGGAACGGTGTGTTGGGGTCCAGCGGGTGAGTCACCTTGTCTACAATTTCTGGTAAGTGAAAGTGAAAAAAAAAAGGAATCGTCAGTAAACATAGTCGCGTGTGTGTGTGGATGTTTTCGTTTGTAGGTGCAAGGAGATACCAGCATAATATCTCCTTGGTAGGTGCGAGGCGTGTCTGAATTTCAATTTTAACAGATGCCGGGATTTGTGTGACTGAGATATGGTTATTTACGTCCGTCAGAGTAGGCTTTTCGTCGAAGACAGAGTGCTAATTTCCATATATAACAAACAGATGATGAAAATGGGGAACGGGAAATTGAAAACTGAAATTGATTACAAAAGAGGTCGGAGTTTTTACAATCTTCTTTATACAGCCAGTCCGGTGCGGTGCATGGCACTATTGGCAGCATCAAAACCGTATCACTACTTTTTGTTTTGCACATACGCCATAATATTGGCGGGAAGCCCGTAGTGCGCCATTTCGAGAACCTGGAAGTCAAACCCATTCTTGTTCAGAAATTGCTGAAAATAGTTTGCATCTAGACCTTCCGAAAAAACAGCTATGATATCATGGCAAAATTATCATTAAATTTAGCCATTGATGTATGTTCTTATTTGACATAATGTTTTAACATACAAACACGTACTTCAAATTATGACAACGAAAATAAATCTCGTCGAGCTATTATTCTCCAACCCTTACCTTTTGGTCCTAGGACACACTTGCCATAAGGACCCTGCCTCGTAGCCATCTCATACAGGATGATACCTAGTGAGTACATGTCACCTTTCTGAGTACCCTCTGGTCTAGGTGCGGGGTCTCGGAGTAGCTCTGGTGCCCGCCAGAGTAGCTCTTCAAAGACAAAATCATAACATTCAAGACCGAGTGGTAAGATTTGTGTTCATTGAATCATCTGTGCATTTGGATAGATGCGCCATTTTACTTGACGTACATTATTCATGACAGATATATTACCAGTGTTTTGGTTACGGTAAATATGAAAGCTAAGTGCAATAATTGGCTTTGAGGAGACATCTGTTATTGCCAATATAACATATTCATTTATCTCCAATCGAGTTTACTCTAATTTTACCATGTTGTGGATGTGGTTGTTATGACACGAAGCCAGGTGGACCTTTTGCTTTAGAAACAAATTGTTTTACATCTTTTGTATTTAGACTATTAAATAGAGGTGCAGTCAAATTGTGTTAAAAACATAATTCTTTTCTTTTTTAATATAAATTTATTTAATAGGATCAAGGTCTGTTTTAACTGAACACAAAGTGGATCAATGCTCTTATGATCCCATCATAACCCGAAATCATACCAAACAATGATCAAGTGTAAAGTTTTACTTAGTGGATCTTCCCGATCTTTGTTTGTGAAGTCTAAGCAACAAAATTCCAGGGCAACCTACTCTCGTATTTTGCGTGTTCACCAATCTCAGGCGGACGGCTACCGCTCCTGAACTGGTGGAGCCCAAAGTCTGTAATCTTGAGTACCCATCGACTGTCCACCACCAAATTACTGGACTTGAGGTTGCCATGCGAGTGCGTTTCACTGGCGTGCAGGCAGCTTAGGCCCTGAAAGAGAAAATTGGAAAGATTCCATTGTCATATATAGTCATCTACAATGTGATTCAATGAAACGTGGAAATCCACATTGTTAATACCAAACAAAAACTAAATTAAATGTTGTATGCTTGGTTGACAACTTATACATGTACCTACTTTATCTTTGGTATGATAGTTAAATTACAATATGATAATAGATGATGAGGCGAATATCTTTTCAAATAAGGTAAGAATCAAAATCTAGCTTAATTATTAGGTCATGAGCTTTCATTTTGCAGGGAAAGGTCGTTTTTGCTGAGAGATATAGGAAGAGAAAAAAAAAGAGGGGGGGGGGGGTGGAGGAAGAGAGAGAGAGAGAGAGAGAGAGAGAAAGAGAGAGATGATATGAGAGAGAGTGAGGGGGGGGGGGGAAGAACATACTGCAGTACTGTATTGTACTCCTCACAACGAAGCCACATCTATTTTGTTTCAGCATACTTAAGTGCATGAATCTGTATGTAAAGATGAGTATCAAATGCATTCAACTTACTTTTAAGATGTCTCCGATTAATGATGCAATGAACATGCTGTCCAACTTGACCTCATCATTTTCCAAGATATCCTGTTTAAAATTATTGTTTAAAACAGACAAACAAAGTAAATTATATGCAGTTCTCTTTGGGGTTAATAATACATCTACATTGTAATTACAACTATAATATTTCTGACTCATCTGTGGTCTCATCTAAAATAAAATTGAATGCAGGCTTCATGAACTATTATTAAACATGTCCAGCTTGACATGGTACAATGTATATATGTATCATATAGTCTTCGTTTCTATTAAAACACACTTAAGATCGTAGGCTCTTTATTAAAGGATTGTTTAAAGAAAGGCCTCGACAATGTTAATATATCAGTATTGTTGCCAAACTTGGACGGAGAAAGTTAGCTGCTGATTATGATGATTATGATAAAGTAACAGTAACAGCTAACAATATCTGGCTTGTGAGTATTTAAATTCTGGGCACTAAATATCTTAAACAACCAACTGATCACTGCCCCCCCTCCAAAAAAAAAAATAAAATAATAATAATTGTCGTTAATATCTTACCTGTAAGCTTCCTTTAGGGCAATACTCTGTGATGGTGCAAATGTTAGGTGGATCTACACATGCGCCGATGAACTGGTTAAGATGCGGATGACGTAGGTCTCTGATCTGAAACAATGAAATAAATAAATATTAATTAACGAGAGTGTTTAATGCGTATTGAGTCTTTGCACTATGGTATTCGACTTTATTGTGTCATCTCTGTACACTGCAGTCGTGCATACCCTTCATGACTACATGATAAGAACGGCCACCCGAATGCAATTTTAGGTCAGTGACGTTATTCCCACCCCCATTGGGGTACGACCTCCAACCTCTGGTTACCTGGACAAGAATGTAATAATATTCAGGCGTTCTAATATAACTTTTAAAAAAAAAATCATTGTTGCTAGGTCAGCACAACTTAAAATTAAAAGCAGATGTTATCATCAATGATTTATAAGAATGCATTCCTCAAATGACTATTTCAACAACAAAAAATTATGCTAATAGAGTATTATTGTCACATTCTCCTTAAATTCGAATTTAAGGGAAAAAAAAATAAGTAGAAGGGTGGAAGAGGAAGAAAAATAAAAGGAGAGGAGGGAATAAGAAAAGCGAGACGGTAAAAACGACGATGCTGAAAATTGGGGGAAACGGGAAGCGACGCAAACGGGAAAGAGAAGAAAATGGCGGTACGAGGAACAAAAGAAAGGCATTTAAAGTAAAACAAGAATATAATGAAATAAATACTGCAAGAAAAATGAAAAGAAGTACTAAAAAAAAGAGCGGAACAAAGACAAAAAGTAAGAACAACGAAAGACTGACAAAACTTACAATTTTGAGTTCCTTTCGCACTGATCTGGTGAGGTCGACGTGTCTCTTGTGTATCTTCTTGATGGCTACCAACATGTTCTTATAGGTTCCTACTTCAGTGAAGATCTGGCATCTGTAAGGGTCCACGGAATTCTTGCTGTCAGTGGTCATCAGACTCAGCTGTTGAACAATATGAGATTAATAATGATAGTAAAATATTGTTTGTTTGTTTGTTTATTTTATTTTAGCACGGTGGCACACTTCAGCCTAAGGCTGTTCTTCAGCATGGCTGTGCATATCACCACTTGGTTAGTTTTTGTCGAGTGAACCTTTAGTGTGATCATGCGACACTGCGATAATCTTGGCCAGCCCAACTTTTCGCTGAATTTTTAGGGAACGTGATCGTGAGTGGGCAAAATCTTACCGTAATTGTACATACGATTGCCTAAAGTTGGTTGGATGCGTATCAATTTATCTCATGATGGGTGATTGTACATCTATTATATTCAAGATTCAACGCGACCTGGCATATTGACGCTAACAAATTGCGTGTCAGTTAGACTTATTTTCAATTTCAATAACATGTTTGGTTTTGATATTAGTGAAGTATGGCTTATCATAATTTGTGTGTCTGTACAAAGTGAATTGTCTCAACTGACCGATTTTTCAAAGAATATAAATGTCAGACAAACAGACGTAGCCGATAGCACCTCATCATGCTTATGGAGATAAGCAGTGAAGTGTGGTTCGCATGTTGTTTCTGTAAAGAAACAGGCGACGGCCTATCTGTATGTGTTCCTTGTAACGACGATATACATGTATCCACACTTTATGGACAACAAACTTCTGTATTTCGAAATTTACGCGATTAGAAAAATAGGAACTCACGATCTGTTTTTAAAACAGAGCTACTGAATGTTTTGCGAGGGGAACGCTTTCTTGAATTTATCAAATACCCAAACTGCAAAGGCTCCCCTCGAAACATTTATTAAACTTGTTATTCATTTCGAATCCTCATTTTCCTTTTTGTTATAATAACGAGTTCACGCGTTACAACTGTTACATTATCCAGATTCAGCAAGTAAAGTATCATAGCATATTACTATTATGGAATGAAGATTAAATTCTAATAAACATTCTACTTCAGATGCCATCAAAAACTTTCACCTACTCACAATTTCATTAATTTTGTAGAAAAACCCATGGTAATTGGATAACAATGTCTCTTATGGATTTCTCCGCCACAATTAAATGTTCCTGCCGACGAGTTAAAGAAATCACTCTACCGTGTTTATAAACAGGGGGAAACCCCTTCCAATTCCCATTTCATTGTTGATGCAGATTTAATTCCCGCCAAATAATCGACAATTTTCTCAAGGCGAATCATTTGTAAAGCTCTACACGAATAATGCCCGATTATTGCCTCCATTGCCTCCTTCATTGACATGAATTTGACATCGTATCTGTATGCTCTCTTATACGCTATCGAAAGCTGACAACTATTCTTTGTTTAAAGGCACCGTTTAACAATGTTAAATCTGAAATGCACGGCCCTACGTGTTATCAGTGTCTGCGATATGGTGTAATATTGAAGCCCTAAACAAAGTGCGCTTCAAAATGATGAAGGGGTGCCTCAAAAAAGTAAAAATCTTTGAGTGACCGGTTTTACCATATTCGTTTTCCTCAATAGACTGTACTGTTATGAAAACCGTTAGGAAAACGCAAAATTTAGTTTCGATTTCCAATCATAAGTATCTTGATAAGCTGACAGGCGATCGGCTTGTAAACGTCATGAGGTTCCTGACTGACCTAAAGGTTTATATTTATCATTGCAGCATGAGCTAAATCCAGGATTTTGTTTCAGAATCTGAGACAAAGTTACCGGATCCCTTTAATTTGAAGCACACTTCCATTGCACGGCGGATAGTGGCATCGGCGTTCTACAGGCGCACGAATGTTGGATAATAATTGTATTAATATATCCATCGTCTGCCGCTGGCACTAGACGACATAATACATAGCCTGCCGCCCCCCCCCCCTGGTGAGTTATGAAGCCGCTACCAAGTGTGTCTTCTTACATCCTCGAGCAACCACTCGATGTCAAGTCGTGAAACTCCTCGAAGGCACTCACGGGATCATCCACTGTTAGGATGTTCCGTGGAAATTAGGGATTGTAGACACACTGAATGTTTTATTTTTTATTTTGGGGATCTTTTAGGATGCAATGGTTTCCATCCATTTAACTAATCAGCCATATCTTTCAACTTATTACAGAATATTTTCGAAAAACCTTCTTCTGTCTTTTCACATCCACAAAGGTATCTTGGGATAGCATCTCATGATGACGTCACTATGGTCTGAATGTCTGATTCAGTCAGTGACTCTGCTATGTATAGGAACAGAAACTTTCACCTACATGTACCTGTTTCCGGAGCAGTTTAAAAGAAGATACCATAATTTTGTCTTCCTACGAAAAGCATCTAAATCAAAATGTAGCAATGCAGTTTACATTGATTTTTAGAATATTATGGAAACTCCCGCATGAGCAAGACGCCTCTCATACATGTAATTGCATTACAAACACAGTCGGCTATTTTCATATTTATTTTCACTTCATCTACGTTTGTATCGAACTATTCTGCTTTCGGAAATTCCTTCAGGCTGTTCGAAAGGCACGTTCAAAGTTGACAAGAAAATACATAATAAGACATTATAGACGATCAAATCAAAGAAATAGAATGGTAACAATTTGAATAAAATAAAATATACAGTAAGAAATCAAAATGACTATACGCACGGGGATTTCACATGGGCATATTTGTAATGTTTATGTGAAAGGCCTATCATATCTATAGTCGCATAACTCTCCCGTTTGGCCCACCACACAAAATAGCTGAAGTATATTAAGAAGAACAGAGTTCCGGCGAGACGCAGAGTTAAAATATGAAATAAAAAATAGAGTTCATGACATCACACGGGATACACACGAGAGGAGCCTAGTTTTAAGAAACTTCACAAGCGCATTCGATTTATTCCCATCCGGTTAAATGAAGAACAAAAATCACGCAATTCAATTTCCTATATGATTTTCCAATACATTCAGTGACCTCAAATGTTCGATTATATTTAGTTACTTTTTTCAATATTTTTCTTATACTGATTTTCAGAATTCGCTCAAAATTTCAACGTTTTTCCCCATCTGATTTTCTGGACATGACGCTTTGATTTCCCTGAAATGCTATAAATAGGGATTAAATCCTATTTTTTATTGATTTTTTCTATAAAAAAAGATATAAACATGTAGAGGAGTATAAATGAAAAATAATGTATTTACGTCGTATAAAGAAACGAAACGCTTTTTGACTGGAGGCATTTTTTTTAAAATTTATTTTGGATCAACATGGGCTTTGTAATTAAAATTGATTTTTTTTAGAATAGAAAACTAGGGAAAGCCCCAAGTGTAGAAGATTGAATAAAGATAAGAAATTGCTTTAAAGGCCCACTGCACTACTTGTAGCTACTTGCGCCCTCTATGTAACAAACAATGCCTAATCGGTGACCATTGGTCCCCCATGATCCTCTTTTTCTTATGTTAACTGAGAGCTGAGTTGATGAGATAACCACCTGTCCAGTGACCTTGCAGGGCAGTCTAATCCCTCCTGTAAACTACGGCAGATAAGCTTTAAGACGCTCACAAATATATTCAATACCTTTACAACATTTGTCACGGTTTTTGAATATAGTGACAAACCTACTTTGCAACGATCCTATTTGCAACAGTAATCACAGTGTTTCGTTTCGCGGTTGATAATATAAATTCAGGTTGAAATATAATGATGTTTACATGGATTTCCTTGTCAAGAATCCCTAGATATATACAAATAAAAAGAAATGATGTTATATCTGTCAACACCTTTTCCGAAAGCATCTTATGCATTATCAAATTCAAGACATTCTTTGCAATGTCACCACAGTTGATAACTGGCTTCTTGTCTTCAAATCTTGCGGATTCATAGAGGCTCGGAAATTCACATCGATTTATTTTAAATACAAGGGGAAACCCCTGAAGCGAATTAGAACGAAATACAAATACGAAAAGTTATGAAGCTGATCTCAAATCTATTTAATGACTTTGTAGAGATAAATCTACCGACAATTCTAATTTCCTCCTATAATCATGGAGTTTTATTTGGTTTCGATATATGTTATCGAGGTTGCGTTATAGTTATGATCATGTGGGATATCTTCTCCGGAAACTTCAGGTAATAAAAAAGGGAAAACAGGACGATGTTACATACGTCAAACCCCTCCAAAATTAATAACGATTAGTGATTTATGAAACTCAAAACATTTCTTTGAAATTTCAAGGAAATTGGGCTGATGCTTTTCTGTCTCGAAATCTAATCGATCAATGTTGGCCGTAAATATCTTCACGACAAAAACCTATTTCCAGCAATCTTTTTCTCAAATTCAATGATTCGACTCCATTAAGAAGATGAATTCAGGGTGTATTGTAGATATGAGTTTCAAGAAACTTTAGATTAATAAATGGGAAGGGGAAGGCCTCTGCTATAAGTAACAATAAACGTGTTTTATGTAATCGAAAACCCTTCATTGAATTTCAGAACAATTTGATTGATCATGATGTCTTTCGTTTATGAAAATCTACTAGACGAAGCACTACTCCTCCGCTGCCATCTCGCTAATCGCCGATATGTTTAAGCCGTTATGCCTTTGGGCTTCAACATCATAACGAGTTTTCCAAAAGGAATCTCGAAAGCTCTTGCTGTTATTTCAACTTTTTAGAACAAGAATCGGTAGGATTACCAAAGGCTTTTCGTGTTTAAAGAACACTCCGCCCCAACAGCCATTAATATATTGTGAATTCATACCATGCTGATCGCCGATCATAGTTTGCGCCATAATGACTTTCATTTGAATATTCTAGAGTAGACTTAAATGCCAACATTTTACATCATGATAGTCATTTCTCTAAAAAAAATCTGCAATATTATCGTAAAAAATAAGAAGCACTCCCAATCCACAACAATTCTATAGCGACATACTTTTTTTAATCGTGGATATACTTTGAGTCATTACGCCTCTTGATTTCAATGGCAAGATAAATTAGATTTACAAAAACCCTTGCTTCCATCTTCCATCATACTCATTGCTCAACTAAAATCTACAAAATTATCGTGAGAGTTAAGAAGCACTTCTAATCCACAACATTTTAACGAGTAAAGCGGCTCACTTTTTTAATCGTGGATATACTTTGAGTCATTATGCCTCTTGATTTAAATGGCAAGATAAATTAGATTTACAAGAGCCCTTGCTTCCATCTTCCATCATACTCATTGCTCAACAAAAATCTACAAAATTATCGTGAGATTTAAGAAGTACTCCTCATCCACAACAATTTAAAGAGTAAAGCGGCTTACTTTTTTCATCGTGGATATACTTTGAATCATTACATCTCTTGATTTAAATGGCAAGATATCTTCTGAGGTAGACTTACAAGCCCTTGCTTCCGTTTTCCATCATGCTCATTTCTAACAAATATCCACAAAATCATCGAAAGCATTACGAAACACGCCTGCTCCACATCCATTTCAATAGTGTGAATACGTACCTCGCTAATCGTTGATATATTCGGAGCCCTTATGTTCCAGCCTTTGTTTTGAACATCAAGGCATCTTCTTAAGGGGATTTGCAATCTCTTGCTCCCATTTCCCATCGTGCCCATATCGATTAAAAACATATCCACAAAATCAAGTTTTACGAAACACCCCTCCTCCATAACAACACACTTAAAGGGGAAAGAGACTTCCTTTGCTAATCATCACATTTTGAGGCATTATGCATCTTCATTTGAATATTAAGGTACATGTATCGACTATCGACACACGGATACTTTGATCTTAAGCGTATTTCGAAATTCCGACAAATATCTTTGAGATCATCGTAAGCTTGACGATAATCTCCCCTCCCCCCACACAACCATTACAAAAAAAGGAAGACCTACCTTACTAATCGCAGATATAGTTGATCCGTTATGCCGCTTAGTTTGAATATCAGCATAGTCGATCTTCCACAGGAGACTCGCAAGCTCTTGCTCGTATTTCCAATTTCTAAAAAAAAAGACAATGATATCAGAGAGGTATTTGAATATTATGGTCGTTTAATGCTACCATAAAAAGTAGGTGGCTGTACATCTGTTGATTAAAATGGGGGAGAAAACAAATCATTAAGTGTTGAAACATGTCATATAAATCAACAAATGGAGGGACTTAGTCAATTTAAAATTATGTAAATGTTTTGAAAGATACTATATCATTCTTGCCGATTAGAAGAGATTTGGAAAACTTAATTCCATTATCTCTTTGAAAAATGTGAGTGTTTCGTTTTGTTTAGTGTGTTTTATTGTTCTCGTATAATGTTCCACCTTCCACATAAGAAGGTTGCCTCTAACATGATATTTAAAGGAATTGGGAATGTAAGTTGCCCCAAATTCTAAACAAAATCCTGGATGTAGCTCATGCTGCAATCATAATTATAAACCTTAAGGTCAGTCAGGAATCCCATGACTTTTACAAACCGATCGCCTGTCTGATTATCCAGATATTTATGATTGGAATTTGAAATGTCAAAAACTGTTTGCCAAACGGTTTTGAACAGTTTGTTATAACACTACAGTCTATTGGGGAAAATGAGTATGGTAAAACCGGTCACTCAAAATTGTTCTGTTTTGAAGTCCTTCATGATCATTTTGAAGCGCAATGTTTAGGACTTCAATATTACACCATATCACAGACACTGATAACACGTAGGGCCGTGCATCACATATATGTACAACTGGAAACATTGTTAAACATAGCCTTTAACAAGAGAATACATAATAAAAAAAAAATTGATAGACATATAGTGGAATAGTAGGTGAAGAAGTTAATCTTGTATATCATAGGTACCCCAATAGATGGGATAATAATAACAATAACAATAATACAAGAATCGTAAACCACGGCCTGACAGTGGCTTACCTATACACGGTGATGGCAACGATGAGGATGACGAGAAGAAGACCGCCGACGACACCCGAGACGATCTCGACGATGGGTCTGTAGGGTGTGTCACAGAACTCGCCGTAGAAGCCGCAGGTGGGCACGGCCAGGGGCACGCTACCGCTGATCCACGGAATGAAGGTCCCGTTGATAGGCTCGTACACCTAGAGGGGGAGGTGGGGGTGGGGAGACATTGTTTAAAGATAAAGTTCATTACTGGTCTTGCGATATCATTAATTGTAAACAAAAGGAAAAAAGAAAGAAGAGAAAATGAAGAAGGAACTATTTACATTGATGTAGAAGAAGCAGGAAGCTTGGTTATGTGGTACATATATATGTTTGGCCAGGATGGATTATACCTCCCTGCATGGTCACTGTCGGTGGTTATGTCATCAAATCAACTCTCAATTAATATAAAAAAGGGGACCATGGGGGACCAATGGTCACCGACTAGGCATTGTTTGCTATATAGAGGGCGCAAGTAGCTATAAGTAGTGCAGTGGGGCCAAATTTGCTATTAATACGAGGGGTGGGGATGAACCGAGTCCGTTTCAACCCCATTTGACCCATCCTTGGTTAATCTAAACGAAACAATTTATAAGAATGTACTCACCCATTGGAAAGATGTTCCGTTTCCAAGACATGACTGTTCTACTTCCTGTAAAATAAAATAAATACGAAAAATGTCTAAACATTAAATTGAGTGCTTGACAAGCAATTTCACTGTAAGACTGTTATATAATATTGGATATTGTCTATGGCGCGGGGGGGGGGGGAGGGAGGGGTGTTGGCTAGAGCCCCCACCCCTCGTTCGTACGCCTCTGTATCTCTGTGAGCTGCAACATCATCAGCATTAAGCTTTGATAAATGTGTCATATTTTAAAAAAATTGTCGTATACACAAGTATAATTGTTTGTGAATAGAGGGAGTTCATTTGAAGCCACCTTTAAATACGAGCGAAAACACAATATCAAATTCATTTTTGTTTTACAAAACGTGACCCGTGGATCGATTGTCAAACTATTATACATATAGTATGATTAGATTGAATGTTCTGGTCGAACATGATTCTTTCTGATTTAGATGCGAAATATGGAAGCAAAGACATTTACCGGGGTGCTATTCGTGATTTTGATGGTGGCGACGGGGTGCATGATGTAGCCGAATGTTTCGTCGACGTCCTCTCCCAACTTGACCGCAATCACTGTTATATCGGCATAGGCGTCACCGCGTGCATCTATATACTTTGGTCGCCCCGTTATACCTGAAACAAAAATGAATGGAAGATTGTGCATGTAACTGAAATTAAATCGTATAAATAGGGAGACGGTCGATTGTATTTTAGAGTGTTTTTCAATTGCCATTAAAGAGATGATTGGTACTGCAAAATCGAGAAATATTAAAGAATAGGAAAGTAGTAAAGCTTTAATATACATGTATCTCTTTTCACTGCTATATTATTAGTGTCATCATCACCATCATCATCATCATCATCACCATCATCATCGTTGTTATCATTATTATTAGTATAATCTTACTACTATTATTATCATTACTATTTTTATCAATACTATTGTTATTATTAATATATTATTATTAAGTCATCATTAGTATCAATGATCATATCATTATCTTGCTCAGATAGACAATTTCCACTATACATTCTAGCAGTTTGGTATATTTGTATACTATATATTTTCTACATGACTATATGAATACAGTTTTGTTTTCATATTTTTGTTTGCATTTTAATAGTGTATATCGTATCTTTATTTGTGAAGAAAAAAAAAATTGTGAAAAATCATTTTTGTTTTTCTGTTTTGAGGGGGAAAACTATTAAATATCACAAAAATCACGTGACAGTGGTGGTTTGAAGATGGTCAAGAATTCTCACCTCTAGCTGACCAAGAGCTGGATTAGGAATAGGATTGAAAGTGTTAAAAGGGGTGGTTGGGCAGTGGCCAAGTTTTTCTCCGATTATTATTGATATGGGTCCACCCACTTCTCTCAAGCCATCGGCTTTATAGGGTGTAAATGATCCAGCACAATTCTCAATGTATATATATTGTATGTGATTTTTTATGAAATAATAAATTGAAATTGAATTGAAATTGAATTGAAGGTTAACCCAAATATAAACCGCCTTCCGTTGGATTAAGGGCTGGATTATGGTCTGATCAAGTGGTTGAAAATTCAAGATTAAAAAACTTTTCGAGATACATGTAGAAAGATTCATCGGATTAAGAATGTAATCTTTCTTCTGCTTGACTAAGAGCTGGAATACGACAGAAACAGGTGTGTGAAATTCAAAGATTTAGAATTGGAGATCGCCTTTATTTAGAACTTTTAAATTCAACCCAACAGTTTCCTCCCTTTTCTTAAAGGGATCGTTTAGCAATGTTAAATCTGAGATACACGGCCCTACGGGTTATCAGTGTCTGTGATATGGTGTAATATTGAAGCTCTAAAAAAAAATCGCGCTTCAAAATGATCAAGAAGTGCCTAAAAAAAGTAAAAATCTTTGAGTGACCGGTTTTACCATACTCGTTTTCCCCAATAGACTGTAGTGTTATGAAAACCGTCAGGCGAACGGTTTTCAAAATTTGTAATTCCAATCATAAATATCTTGATAATCAGACAGGCGATCGGCTTGTAAAAGACATGGGGTTCCTGACTGACCTAAAGGTTTATAAATATCATTGCATCACGAGCTAAATTCAGAATTTTGTTTCAGAATCTGAGACAAAGTTACCGGATCCCTTTAAGATTAAGGGGGCGGTGACGATATGTTCAAGATCGAAGATTAACCCAAGTTTTATCCCCTTCTCGCAGGATTAATATCATCCAGAGATGGAGAGGAGAAGGAGGAGCATAAGGAAGAGGATGAAGGGATTAAGAAGAGGGATGAATAGGGGAATGGGGAGAGTTATAATCCATAGGCTATCTTATATTGATGGTTTAATCCTACTTTAAAACCCCTTTTTGGCTGGATTAAGAGACTGCTATTAGGGTAAGGGCTGGATGAGAAGTAGTCTAAATCGACACATGATATCGTGCTCATGATCTACGTTCCATTGCTGATATCGTAAGTCTCAGCTAGGATTTCGTTCAGTGCTGGAGTACTGTGAAAGTGAAGAATATTATATATCTAATAAAGACAGTAGTTGAGCCGAATTTAAACCCTCTTCTACTAATCGAAGACCTGGATTATGAGTGGTTGAAATCGAAACTTACTAGCATGTTTCCTGCACAAAATCCTGCGCAGGATCTCCGTTCCATTCCTGATGTCGTAACCAGCGGCCAAGGTCTCGTTCAGTGCTGGAGCATACACGTTGTACACATTGTCGTAGAGGTAGGCCGCCTCGATAGGAATCTGTGGATGGAAGGAGAAGTGATGGAGAGGAGAAGGAGGAGAAGAGATAGAGAGGAGAAGGAGGAGAAGAGATGGAGAGGAGAAGGAGGAGAAGAGATGGAGAGGAGAAGGATGAGAAGAGATGGAGAGGAAAAGGAGGAGAAGAGATAGAGAGGAGAAGGAGGAGAATAGATGGAGAGGAGAAGGAGGAGAAGAGATGGAGAGGAGAAGGATGAGAAGAGATGGAGAGGAGAAGGAGGAGAAGAGATGGAGAGGAGAAGGAGGAGAAGAGATGGAGAGGAGAAGGAGGAGAAGAGATGGAGAGGAGAAGGATGAGAAGAGATGGAGAGGAGAAGGAGGAGAAGAGATGGAGAGGAGAAGGATGAGAAGAGATGGAGAGGAGAAGGATGAGAAGAGATGGAGAGGAGAAGGAGGAGAAGAGATGGAGAGGAGAAGGAGGAGAAGAGATGGAGAGGAGAAGGAGGAGAAGGGGTGTAGAGGGGAAGGAGGAGAAGAGATGGAGAGGAGAAGGAGGAGAAGAGATGGAGAGGAGAAGGAGGAGAAGAGATGGAGAGGAGAAGGATGAGAAGAGATGGAGAGGAGAATGAGGAGAATGGATGGAGAGGAGAAGGAGGAGAATAGATGGAGAGGAGAAGGAGGAGAAGAGATGGAGAGGAGAAGGATGAGAAGAGATGGAGAGGAGAATGAGGAGAATGGATGGAGAGGAGAAAGAGGAGAATAGATGGAGAGGAAAAGGAGGAGAAGAGATGGAGAGGAGAAGGAGGAGAATAGATAGAGAGGAGAAGGAGGAGAATAGATGGAGAGGAGAAGGAGGAGAATAGATGGAGAGGAGAAGGAGGAGAATAGATGGAGAGGAGAAGGAGGAGAAGAGATGGAGAGGAAAAGGAGGAGAATAGATAGAGAGGAGAAGGAGGAGAAGAGATGGAGAGGAAAAGGAGGAGAAGAGATGGAGAGGAGAAGGAGGAGAATAGATAGAGAGGAGAAGGAGGAGAATAGATGGAGAGGAGAAGGAGGAGAATAGATGGAGAGGAGAAGGAGGAGAAGAGATGGAGAGGAAAAGGAGGAGAATAGATAGAGAGGAGAAGGAGGAGAAGAGATGGAGAGGAGAAGGATGAGAAGAGATGGAGAGGAGAAGGAGGAGAATGGATGGAGAGGAGAAAGAGGAGAATGGATGGAGAGGAGAAGGAGGAGAAGGGGTGTAGAGGGGAAGGAGGAGAAGAGATGGAGAGGAGAAGGAGGAGAAGAGATAGAGAGGAAAAGGAGGAGAAGAGATAGAGAGGAAAAGGAGGAAAAGAGATAGAGAGGAGAAGGAGGAGAAGAGATGGAGAGGAGAAGGAGGAGAAGAGATGGAAAATGAGAAGGAGGAGAAGAGATGGAGAGGAGAAGGAGGAGAATAGATGGAGAGGAGAAGGAGGAGAAGAGATAGAGAGGAAAAGGAGGAGAAGAGATGGAGAGGAGAAGGAGGAGAATAGATGGAGAGGAGAAGGAGGAGAAGAGATGGAGAGGAAAAGGAGGAGAATAGATAGAGAGGAGAAGGAGGAGAATAGATGGAGAGGAGAAGGAGGAGAAGAGATGGAGAGGAGAAGGAGGAGAAGAGATGGAAAGGAGAAGGAGAGAAGATATGGAGAGGAGAAGGAGGAGAATGGATGGAGAGGAGAAGGAGGAGAAGAGATGGAAAGGAGAAGGAGAGAAGATATGGAGAGGAGAAGGAGGAGAATGGATGGAGAGGATGAGGGTTTGAGATGAGGGATGATCAGGGGAATGGGAAGAAATACGAAGGGTTGAAGGAAAATGTGTATGGGGAGAAAGAAATGCGAGAATGAAGGAGGAATAAGAAGCGGAAGGTTAATATAGGAGTTAGGAGGAGCAAAAAGAGAGGGATATTCGGGAGGAGGAGGAGGAGGAGGAGGAGGAGGAGGAGGAGGAGGAGGAGGAGACAAATAGAATGGAAAAGAGGATAGGGCAGGGTATGGAAGGGAGGAAAGGGTAGCAGTAGGAGGAAAATGAGGGTAAAGATAGAGGAGGGAAACAGAGGTATAGGAAAAATGTAAATAGAAGCATGGGAAAAGAAGGAATCATGAAAAGATAATGAGTGAGAGAGAGAGAGAGAGAGAGAGAGAGAGAGAGAAATAGAGAGAGAGAGAGAGAGAGAACATTAATTTAAACATAAATATTTGGTGTATTCCATAATTCCAATAACGCAAGAACTACAATAATCAGAAAGTTTGGGCGTATGATTCAGTGATCGTATCATTACCAACTTTCACCAAATTAGGAACTCTCTGATGCCAAAGACAAATAATATAATAAACGAAGTGACAAAATATATAGTTACTGCAGCTTATGAAATAATAACATATCTTGTATAGATAAATTATACTTTCATATCTTTTATTTCAACTACACATTTCAAATACAATCATGTATTTATAATTTGCAATGCTCGACCTTTTTACTAGTAGAGGATGGATTTCTTCTTATCATGCAAGAACACTGTCTGGTATAAATCTATTCAGGATTTGTAGTTTGCAATGATAAAACCTGAATAGACCGAAACCAAACCTCAAAGGATTCTGAAAGCGTGAAATGGGATAGATGGGAAGATGACAGATGATTAATGGCATGATGGGGAAGAGAGGACAATTGACCGCAGAAATATTTCCTTCAAAATGAATACACTTTACTGGAGACCTCTTTTGCAAAGTGGTTTGCGTCATAATAAACCCTACTCTGAGAATATTTGCTCTTTTCGCTTGGGATTACCAAGAAAATGATATGTGCATAATGAACCCTTTAGGTTGAAAATGCCAAGTATTAATCTGAAAAAGTTCAGCTGACGTGCTAATCTTCCACTTGAAGTCTCTTGAAACCAGAAGAGGCGCCAAATCTCTCCAAAAAGGCAATCAAGGGCTCGTATCAAATCATTTATTTTTCCCTATCCTCATAATTCATCCTCTCGACGCTCTAGAAGATCATTTCGCGATTCTCAAGAAAATCTTCATATCTCCGACGAGGGCGAAACCGAGACGCCGAACATGCTAGCTACCCTGATTGCTAAGTTCTGCGGAACCCCTCGAGGAGCTCGTCAAACGTTAAAAAAAAATTGAAGCTTGAGAAATTCAGAGGGGAATGGAATAACCATTACAACAATATCTATGACGGAATCATTTGTGTGTGTGTGTGTGTGTGTGTGAGTGTGGGGGGGGGGGGGGGGGGGGGGTAAGGGAGGGCGGAACGCGGTGCGAAGGGTCAGTCACTTAATAATATTCCATTTCCCAGTGCATCTTTATTGACGAGGGGATGTGCACATCCAAACCCTATTCGTTTTTACTTCACCGCGATTGTTGAAATCGTTTGATGAAACTTTGTCCCTGATTTTTTATCACGTTCGCTGACAATAAGGTGTGACATATCTCGGTCCGCTAAGAGATGCGAAGTAAAAATGCGACATCGTAAGAACAGACGAACTTCATTATTACAACGTAAGAATGCATCCTTAACAGGAGAAATCCGCCCTTATATCAAAATTATCAAAAATAAAAGAAACCAAATGTTGGTAAATTCCAGGGCCCAAGTATTCCCTATGAAAGAGAAAAAATAATGACCATTGAAATTACATAAATGATAGGAGAGCTGGTTTCTGAGGAAATCAGAGATCTGTCAATTTTTTCTTGTTCAATCACAACTTTGAAATAACTATGATTAAACCTTTAGCAGATCTTTCTCAGATTGCTGCGATTATTTTTCATTCATGTGTTTAAATCAATTTGATGTCAGCTAGGATTTTTTTTTGGACAGATTGTTATCACTCGACAGAGAGAGAGAGAGAGAGAGAGAGGGGGGGGGGAGAGAGAGAGAGAGAGAGAGACAGAGACAGAGACAGAGAGACAGACAGAGAGAGAGAGGGAGAGATAAAGAGAGAGAGAGAGAGAGAGAGAGAGGGAAAGAGACAGGGTGAATGCTCACTCGGGCAACAAACCTTTGCGCCAGCTGGAAAATGAAACGGTCTCCTCTGTAGAAACCCTTTTAACATCAGCATTAGCTCGATGAGAATCATCTTCAAGTTAATCAATACGTATGGACGTAACCACAAACAAGTGCACCTGCTTTCCATTGCAAAGACAGTAAGCGTATTATAATATCTGCAGCTCACATTCTTTCAACCTTTTTTTTCTTCCAAGCTATTAATAGAACGATTAAAGTTAAACCTCACTTAAATTTTCATGAGGTTCCAGGAGATCAATGAAAACAACCAAGAAATTATTTAATCTCTCCCCTGTTAGTAATTTAAAAATCTTTCTAAATACCTCGTGGGTTCTGGGAAAGGCCACAAACAATTTGTGAGTTTTGTTATATTTTTTTGTAACGGTGTGGAAACATTTCATAGCAAAAATATCCACTGAAAAGGATGGCTCTTTAAATGCCTTCATATTCGAAATATGACAAACAATAGTTATTAAAAGGTTGTGGACCACAATTTTTACGCCACATGTTTGTATAGTCCAATATATACATTTCTGTGTACAGTAAATGTGACTCTTATCAAGACTGAGCCCACTTCTTTTCATTTTGATGATTTCAAAACCGGACAGTACGCACCCATACTTAGGCCATTAACAAAAAAAATACATGATTAGCGTCCCCGCCCGCTTCCTTTTTGATGGTCGCCTCCTTTTTCTTCTTCTTCTTTTTATTTTGTTAAATAAAAAAACAGCATGAAAAACACTCCTAAAATGATCTATTTTTTATTTTTTTTTAAATGGAAAAAAAATGCCGCCGGCCATCTTGAAAAATAATTCGGGTGTCAGGGAAAATGTTCCTAGCGGCAATTTTGAGCGGCCATTTTGAAGAAAAAAAGAAGAAAAGGGCCTCCTCCTTCCTATTTTTCAAAAAGGCAGGACGCTAAACATGTTTTATTAAATATTTATTTGGCCTTACGTGCAACATGATCAATATTTCCAATCGCCTCCGAACAGTTCCCTTCACATTGTAATTGCATGTCAAGGCCCCTTCTTATAAAGAGATGCGTCCTCTATCCAATCCAAGTTTGCATTCTCTTATTTCTTATGTACATACATGTAGTTGCGATTGGTATCAATTGCAAATAAGTTGCGACTAATCGGATCTGTTTATAGGACGGGACCCAGAACTCGACTACATCTCTAAGAAATCCTACTTTTGAGTTGATCCTTTTTTTAGATTGCATAATCCAATAACATGACTGAAGGTGCGTTTAAGCTCAATTTTGAAGGCAGAATGAGCGATTTGAAACGCACATCGTAAACGCTCATCGTAATCGCAGTTCCACGGTGTACTGTTTATGCTCACTTCTCTGGCTCCTCCAGGCAACTCTCACTGAGTGGCCTTAATTGGCCTTGCAGCTGGATTCGCAAACCTACACTGTGCATGCTACGTAGACCCACTAGAGGTCAGTGCGTTGACCCCATTTAAACGCGTTTACAAATTGTAAACGCATCTTTTTGTGAGTTTACGATCGGCGATCGTGATCGCCGTTTTTCGGTGATTCTACAAAAGTGAGAAACGGCGCAACCGTGTTTTAAACTAAACGCGTAACAGATGCCTGATTCTGGCCAGAAAAAGTTGAGCATAAACACGCCCTGACACTCTGACGTCATGTCTTCCTTTCGGTGCTCATTCTGATCTTATCATTCAGTTTTACTGGAAACGTAATAATTGCACCTTTAAAATGGTGATTAATAACGTTTGATTTGATTCTCCAATACCATGATAAGACAGTACGCATGATCAGCGGAAGTATCATTTTGCCAGGAATACGTCGTCACCTGATAATTTCCATTTACATGTACTACCGCAGTTCAAAACGGCATGTGCTCTAGAAAAAAAGTCATAAATTACTTCTAATTATAGGTTCCACCTGAAAGGCAAATAGCAATATATCAAATTACGCCCCCACACGTTACAACATTAATCACAATTATCTTTCCTGGGTAACGCTAAAAATTGAAAATATATAGGTAAATCCTTCCCTTCTAGCGAATATTTGACCGAAATGTTATCCCCCCAGAAGCGCTGTGGTGGCTAGGTGGGACTAGTCTTGCAAGTGCAGACCCTTGTCAGTAGGGAGTGCATAACGGTAGGTCTGGGTAAGGAGACTATACTGAGGCTGGAGTCCGTAAGTTATGTACTGTAGCAGCTCCTGAAACAGCCTCATTTCAGACTGACAAATTTAGACTCGGCCAAGACTCTATACAATTATTTTTTAAATCTCAAGTTAGAGTCTGTGCGAGCAGACTACGATGGGACTGGCCTAAAGTCGCCTCTTTTCAGACGCCAAATTTACATTGAATACCGACTGATGGCTATCTACAGGACTCTGGGGCATATACATTTCAGTTTCCTGCGAGTCCGCGTCAGAATCACATTCCCACGTATGTATTGAGTTTACCCTTTAGGGTGGTAATTGGTCAACACTGTCTTGGGGCAAAGAAAACTAGTTCCGAGCCAATAAACATCGAAATAAATGTATACGGTTTCAGCTATTGTTTTGTAAAAACGAAAGTTTATGATCCAGTTTGTCTGGTCTTAATTCTATTTTGAATCGAGAACAGTAACTTCATCCCTCACTTTCGGACTGACATGGACATCTTCCTTTAGGGGGTCGTACGAAATGAGTGATTTGATGGTGTGTATCGAAGTCAAACTTTAATTTGAGTAGTTGGAATTTCTTCCGTTTAATCCCAGAAAATTATTCCCTGGTTCATTTGATAAGGTTTAATGTCATTGCATGTCTTTCATCAGTATTCGATACACATACTAACGCAATATTACATAATCGCGACTACTGTACTTCCGAAAAATCACCCTTTAAAGGCGATTGTTATTACTTTGTGTGTCACCTATTGAAAAGTGCAAACCTGACAATGATGTATTACGTAACCATAACATGATTGCTACTGGATGTTCTATAGGTATTACAATTGCAATTGAGTTGCTATTTCGAGAATAGTTGCGTTCGAGCAATGTAATGTTCTACGCTATGGTTTAAACAATTTCAAGAACGTTTTGCCTTTCGAAATAAATCATATAAGTGGGTAAAAATGTTTATTCCTTAAATATAAAGTTGGGTTCTGGTCATGCGATTGCATGGGGAGAGAACAGTTGTGGAATCGATCAGAAAAGGTTGATCATCTAGCATATAAGTATTAGTGTGTAATTCAAGGTTCTGGAATTATCAACATGATAAGAAATTTGCTTGGTAACATTACAAGCACTGTACACAGAAAGATGTATATGGGACTACATAAACATGTGGCATAAAAATCCGTCCCGATTTTTATGCTGTTGCATGTCATATTTAGAATATTAAGGCATTTTGAAGAGCCATTCTTTTCAGGGAACATTTGTTATCTGATGTTCTTCCACACTTGCATAATAACATGATAACGCTCAGAGATTATTTTTCACCTCTTCCGAAAACTCAACCTTCTCTTTAACAGCGGTAGTAGAGGGGGGGGGGGGGGGGGGGGGCACTTGCACCATTGGGGGAGGGGGGCAGCGGCCGGTGGATGAAATGCAAGTTGACCGAGGTCATCTAGGGGAGGGGAGAGTGCTGGAATGGGTCGTCCTATGTTCTTGCCACGTGCTTCCCCCTCACTGTTCCACCCTTTTCTCACAATCATCGGCTGACGTTCCCCACACCTACGCACACGTGACTGGCACCGTGTTTATTTGCGATTCTTTATATAATTACGGGTATTAACAAGTAGTGGTGTGCAAGAGGATTCAATTCAACTCACGTTGCGTTTGGACATTCATATCATTCATTACATTCGCAGCACCGCGAAGCTAATTTATTATTCATGTGACGTTAAGGTGGTAACTCAACCATCGTAAATTAAGGCGGAATAATCAGTCATCATTAAAGGAGCTACACAAAGATAATTCACTAACAACTCATAAATAGAACAATTTACTGAGAAATCATATAGATATCATGGAAAGGCGTAAAATGCAATTGTTCAAGACCCTCCTTAGACCCCCGAACGCCCCTGAACGTAAGTCAAACACACAAGCGTAGCGAGCTCTGAATTGTGACGTCACACACTGGACGAACAGCTCAGTGCCGTGTAGCAGTATGCAGCTAGCCAGCCGTGTCTCGTATATGACGTCACGAATATTGACGCTCTACAAAGGACCGCTGAAGGCAGAAAATCTGGATCTCAAAACTAACATTTTTGAGAGTTGATTACTGCGGGCCCCAAATAGAGAAGAGTTGTTGTATTTGATCGGCAAGGCTTCCCCTTCGTAATAATATATGAGTTTTGCATCAATTCAAAACACTTTTGATTTCTTCGTGTGGCTACTTTGAATTAATGTAGCTTGTTAGGGGAAAAAAGTGCAACAGCTCAGAGTATCTTGCTATGAATTCACATGTAAGTCAAAGCAAACTGCGAGGTGTCTTTTTGTCAGGGTGATAGGCTTTGGGAAACTGTAAATCTCCAAGGCAAAAAGCCCCCTTTTTCACACCGCTTTGATTTGCCCAAACATGATATGAAATACTAAGAACAGCGATAACTACATGTATATACTTACTCCGAGAACGTCAACTGCATCTCCAAAGTCAAAGTTGAAAGGGGGTTCCTGGAGTTTTTTATAGGTCTTTCGTTGGAAATTATCGTAACTCGGATCGGTAGCAGGAGAGAGAAAGAGCGCCAGCAACGTCCGGTAGTACATCATGACCTCCCTCGAAGGTTGGCGAAGGTAAGGATCTTTAAAGATTAGAATGAAAATGCGTAAAATGTGAGTCGATATGTATGCGGCATAACCATCGATAATTGCACAGGTGAGGTGAGAAATGTTAAGTTACCAGGGGATGGGGTAAGCGTCCTAAATATTTTGCCCTGTAACCTGTGTATGTTTCAGAATTTCAGCTTCTTTTAATAAGGGAATAAGGGAGTTTACAGATACAATCTGCGCATGGGCAGATAAAGGTCATTAATGTACCAAAAAGGTAAAACCCACCAAATATGAATACTGGATATGCGCTCATGAAAGTTATGTAACATTATTCATTTATGCACCAACGGTACATTCTAAGATACGCAGGTGGACGTATTCTTTTCAAGAGGGCAAATAAAAGGTATTCATGAAGCACATCTAGGACTTTGGCAGTTATTATTCTAATACCCCATTCACAGTGGTTTTGAAATTTGTAGCGGTGTTGTAGCGGAGCGGCGACACCGCCATAACACCGCTACAAATGCATTCACAGTAGAAAAGTTATCCCGCTGCAGCAGCGGGATAAATATCATGTACCCATTCACGCTGCAGCGGGTGATTTTTATTACCTCCGTAACAAACACGTGTATGCATGGCTCATGACCCGCGAGTGACCCCGATATGACCGGAAATACTTCAGCGCGGGGTTTTCGATTGCTTGAAATTGCGCGCGCTAGCTGTACTTTACACACTCTTCCTCATGTAGCTAGCTCGATCATATTACTTTTTAAAAAACTAGCATTTTTATTGCTTCCAGTCAGAATATTTTAATTTTTTGAAGTGTGAAATATTTTTATTTGGATAATTATAATATCTACATAATAATAAAATCAATTTGAATCCACTGGTTACTTTATTTCTATTTCACTTTATGTTCCCCATTGCTGGAGAAAAGAGGTCAGTGATAGGTAAGTAAACAAATCACACGTGTTTGTCGCGGTGTTATAGCGGAGAGCCTTCACACTGAGTAAACACCGCGACAGCAGCGGGACTGTCGCAAACAATGCCTCCTGTTCATCGAAGCGTAAACACATATCACACAAAAATGATACCAAATGATTTGAGATAAAACACTCTTTCATAAGATGTATAATGATATACTGTTCATAGATGATTTTTCAAATAATTAGCAATTTTCTAGGTGTAAACTTTTTTTTGACTCACACGGTAGATCCGTGAATTCTAATTTAAATGGGAGTAGACTCCTTCCCATTTAAGAAAAAAAAAAGATTACTTACATAATTCCTATTGTATTTTAGGGTGATTTTGGTATCAAACTTTATTTATTCTGGTAGCCCACTCGTTTTATTTCTTGATCTGATGCGAATATATGGTCCATTTCATTGTTTTCTATTGTCATCGATAATTACGTAACTACATTTTGAGATGTCTACCGAGGCCGCCCGAGGGAACCAAAGAAAGTGGCCACTGTAGACGTTGGCCTTTCTAGACATAAGTTCGATGTCACACATTTTTTTTCTCGAGGGAGGTATAATACGTGGTAACTATAAACAAAGGGCCTGTACTGATTATTTCATTTGTAAAATTGCAAACAAAAATACATTTAATACAGAGATGAATCAAATGAAATCAATAAATTGATCGTTAAACTCATAGCCTGCCATAAGGATGCATGCACGCTATTGTTATAATGCCATGTACACCTCAGCAAGCTACTGCTCCTCTGCTTCTTGCATGTCTGCACGCATATGTAATAGCAGTTATTGTTCATGCCTATTGGACTGTGCCTAGTGTTTTGCACGCGCTATTGATAGTACCATCGCGTTAATCCGATTATCTCGTTATAAACTTGGCACTGCGGGGATTTGGGGCCTGGCACAATGGAAATTAACCCGGTGGCAGGATAAGAGCGAGAATCTCCTCTATACCTACCTCCCTGAAAGAGATGAAGTTGCTTGTAATCGAAGTTCTCTTGGTTAGCCCAGATGACCATATACTCGCCGTTTTCTAAGAGACCATGGTACATCATCTCGTGTAGAAGTTCGTAAACCTCCCAAAGCTCGCCAATAAAGATGTAGACTTTAGAAAGAAAGAAAGAACAATCAAAAGACAAAACAAAATACTTGGTCGTTGTAATGTTTATGGCTTGGGCTATTACCTATTCACTTTAATATCATGGCAATGGTTTAGCTTTAGAGTAAAATTATAGCTAAACTACATTTTCTTATTTTCCTCAATTCTATTAAATTTGGGTAAATTGTACCAAGTGGAACATTACCGAGTCAACAGTCGTTTTTTTTTTTAGTCCGTTTGGATCTCTCTTGTAATAAATATATTTTGTTCTTTCTCCTTCCTGCTCCTTCTACACGTGTGCTATTTATTCGGGAACATTGGTTTTAAGAGGAACACTCAAAGACATCGGAGAATGTACAATTTCCAGGGGCAACACGACACACGAGAGAAAAGTGGAACGAAAGATATTGGACCCACAGGGGTCGACCTATCTCAGTTGACGACGCCATTTTGTTTTGTCCTACCTTCCCTTCTTTTTGGAACAGCGGACTAGTTACATGATTCTGTTAGACCGCGAGCCGATGGCCCTCCCTTAGGTCGAGTCACGCAGGGAAAAGGGTAAATCAATGAAAGTTTTCTCTTGGTCAGTGTGGGGTTACATGCACATGCAGGATCATAACCGAAAACGAAGCAGAGGATATGAGAAGCAAGTTTTAGGGGTAGAATGCCCTCCAATAAAGAGAATATACTGTACTACTGTTAGGCCACACAGTGCGCCCTCATCGCTGGTTAACGACACCCGACGCGCGTATTCTTACTCGACCTTTAGGCATTCGAAGGGAAAATATAATGCAAAAAAAAAACACCAAGCATGTTGTGTAAGGAAGAGAAATGATCGCTACAATTGGAAACTTAACCTAGTTTTGTACATATCAATTAAACGTTGTGTCTTTAGTGATATCTTCTGGGTCTCTTGGCGATGTATCTCTTCTCTGATCATAACTTGACGAACGTACCTCAAGATTTGAAATGAAGAAATGAGGACACTGTATGACGAGGTAAAGGATATGTGGCTAAATTTGTGTTCCCAATTAATTTCCTTGCCTTTCGCCCCTATCTATAATGGCATACATGCAGGTCTACAAGGAAAAGAAAATAGGAGGGGGGTACCCTAGGTTTGTTTTACCCCATAAACATCATTGCCTGAATTCCCGTGTAAACTAAGTGGATTTATAGCAATAGTGATATGACCGGACGAAAACAAATTAAACCGCTGCTCACTTTCCCTTTTCATGATCTGCTCGATTTCATCAAAAGGGATTATTTTCACAGCTCGAAGCAACAACCGAGCAAATTCCATTTTAATTGTCCACAGGGATCGACAGATCAATTAAAAATTTCCCGGATTGAAACCCAAGTGTACAACCAATGGTACATGTAGATGCACAGCGACTTGAGGACGGGATATGATACGGGTTTTTAGATTGGTTTGATAAAGACGAACATTCGGAAGGATAAAAGGGGTTGCCATTTCAATAAATTGTTGTTTTTGTATACATGAAACACACATACAAAAAACCGTTACATGAAGAACACGTACTTGTTGAATGAACTGTGTAATCATATCACCTACATTTAGGTCGGGTTCCCATAGGTCATGAAGGTTAAGGGTTAAGGGTTAAGGGTTGAGGTAAAGATGGATTTGAACTTGTATAGCAGTGATAAGCTTGATTTATTATTATTCGAGTGATTTACATGTCCATTTTGTCAGACAGTAATCATGGTAATATGCGCTGTATCCGCTTTTTCGTGGGAGTATACAACTTTTGTTGCTCTCGTTTGGGCATGTGCAAAATTCAGTTACGACGGCTTTCCACATCTTCCCAGGATACTATTTATTCTCTGTGTCGTGAGTGGCAAGTGTAGACAAGAATGTTCCAATAGTGTAACCACGGTAATCTTCCTTCTACTTTTAGAGAACTAAAATAAAGCGTCAGAAGCGTCATCAGTGGGACGTGAGGTATTACGCCCCAGTGCCAGTTGTGTTTGTGTATTTTTGTCGGAAATTTTTAGATTACTTTTCGAGACTGTCTTGTCGTGTTATCGCCACCCCCCGAAAAAAGAATAGCATGAATACAAAATAAAAAAGCATTTTGTTTTTTCTTCTTCTTTTTCTTGCTTATAAATTCACACTCAGATGTGGAATAGGGATAACCTAAACTAATATTTATTAATCATAGAAAGCGAAGAATGTTTCTCTTACTTCTAGTGTGTTCGTAGGTCTCCCGGACAATCGCACGCATCTCAGGCTCCACCCCGTTTTCGGGTTCATAGAGGGGCGGGATGTAGGGGCTCGCGTAGATCTTGACGTCGCTGATGTGAATATTCTTCGTGGGCAGCTTCAACTGCAGGCTCTCGCTCACGCTGAGGCGGTTCGATTCCGACGACGACACGATGCTGACGTTGTACCAGTTGAAGTACTCGAGGAGGACGGACACGGCTTCGGTCAGGAGGTCGTCGGTCGGGATCGTCCGGGCGAAGGTCGGGTAGATGCTCTTGTCGCTGAGTTTGCTTTCGGCGCAAGTCTGTAGTGGAGATTTTAAAAAATGGAATATTTGTCAGTTAGAATAATAGTAGATTGTCACGATACATGGAATCAATATACTTATTAGATATAGCAGTATATATGATACACATTTATGGGTATTTAATATGATTATCAACATACATCTGATTTAACGAAAGTTTAAGGCAGCAAAGGTGCACATATGCCATTTTAATGGGAAAAGGGTTTAACAGATTAAAATGGCGATAAGTTAAACAAAACTTTTTCAAGAAAAACAAGATTAGGAATATTAATGGTAATGATAAGAAGAGGAAGAAAGGAAAGAGAGAAAAATTTCTGTGGTGATGGTAGGAGGGGGGGGGGGTGGAATCTCACCCCCCCCCCCCCAGTATCAGATTGACATTGATAAATGCTTCCAGTTCATACGGTATTGCCCCTCCGAATCTCGATGAAAATGGATTGGCGACCCAATGTTTCAAGAGCCACATGAAGTATATCAAGCGCAACATTCACACCAACTTGTTATTTTTCTCGCAGATGGGTTTTCCTCCTTCCCCTAACCAAATAACTAGTAATGCATGTGTATATGGCCATTGAGACACTACTACGTATTGACAATGCCATTATCACTTTGCACTCGACGCCATTGGAACGCTTATTTCGTGTTCTAGATTTCGATGCCGATATACCCTCCACCTACAATTGCCCCTCAGCCAGCGGCTTCACTAACGGATACAAAGTGTATCTTATGCAAATAAATGAAACAGAGGGTAGATGTACTCTTTCTATTGACAGAATTAGTGAAATGCCTATGAGGTTATACGAGAGAGCAATCTACCTGTTCGACAGAATTTTCTCAACATTTTGCTTTCCATTTCCCCCATCTATCATCATGAAAATCACTCTTGATGCTACTTCATCGGAGGCCTTCAAGGGGGCGCTTCCACCCAGCATCTAGACTAAGAACTATAGTTTTACTTGCACTACCCTTTAAAGACCGTCAATACTACTGGGCCAGAGGGGATTAGACAACACAGCGAGGTCACTGACAGGTGGCTATCTCATTAACTCAGCTCTCTACTAACATAAGAAAAAGAGGATCATGGGGGCCCAACAGGCACCGATTGGGGAATTTTTCTATATAGAGGGAGCAAGTAGCTACAAGTGGAACAGTGGGGCTTTAAATGCACCAATAAGCATGCACTGCAAATGAGCACCTCAGTTGATTCCTCAGCACTACATCCTCACTTATGGATCCTGCTGAGTATCGTCATAAAAGAAATAGAAGAAGATGTTTTTCTTCCATATCCAGTCGGCGATGCATGAATTGTTTATTCCAAATGGTTTTTAAGGTAACGGTCTGTTGGAATTGGAAAAGTATTCATCTTAACGAGAACAAAACAAATTAGTCCTCTTTGTGCAGGTCTAGTGGTTTTCTGGACATCGAACATTTGATCACAAAGTACGGGGTTGGAATCTCTGCTACAATGGTCACCCTCGACCCAGGTGAAGTAATTGAGCACCTGGTAGGATTATTTTGTTAGCACACACCATTGCACAATATGCATTGATGATGGTTGCTTCATTTTCATGAGCTATTTAATGGGATCATAACTTGTCAATACTCTTTGGTATATGTTTGGAAGTAAACGTGAACGTTACATTATACTAACATTGAAATATTGAAATGCAACAGTCTTTGCTAAAAATCCAAGGAATTCGATTCTTTTACGAACTCAGTTCTGATGAAGTGATCACGTGGCTCAGTATATACTACATGTAGGCAAACAAAAACAAAACAGGGCACTGACATGACTCGCCAAGATAACAATAAATCAACATAGAAAGCTTTTGCACAAGCAGTCTGTCACTATTCGTCCATAACCTTCGTACGCTAATGCTTAAACACATCACAGTCCTTATCCTCCTATACGCTAAATTACATGCATTAGTTGGTAAGATACCCCCCTGTACCCACTTCCTCAGTAATACCCCAGTACTTTCCAAAGTTCATATCCGGCGTTAACCAGGCGAGCGCCAGAAACCCGGTTTGGGCGGGAGCCTAGCATTTTACCCCAATCTTCAGACACTTTTAACACAATTTAATTAATCAAGAAAGCGACAGCGCGCAGAAAGTCACTGCCATATCTATTAAAGCACGTGATCAAAAAGTAGGTCGCCGATTCGCCACTTTTTCGATGCAATCCAGAAATATTACAGAGGCAGATGTAATCGGTTGTATTGAGGGTGCGTAGATATTGATTCGGGGGCAATTGGTGGTGCACCAATAAATTCAGTTTGTCTGATTCTCTTAATATCGAAGATGCTGAAGAATACATTTAGGTCTATACACAGTTGAAGTTCATCGTTATTTTGGTAAAATCCCCCAAATCTAGCACGGTCACATTCTTAATTATATTGTTGTTCTGGGTAATATGTATCCATCTACATGTACCTTTAAGTTTTATTTTTTATTTTTTACATAAAGGAGCTAGTACAACCTCGCGTGCACGAAGGCATATTGCCTTGATAAAAGAAGTCGGAGCAAAGGAGTCTGAAACTAACCTCTTATGTGTTCATGTTTCGATACAGAAGCACCATTATGAGTTTAAGGAGTCACTAATTTGCACGCCGCATTCTAGCATTGCTCTTATGCAGACCTTTTCTTTTAAGAGGTCTTGGTACAGAAGCCAAATTAAACTGAAAGAACAGTCACAAATTATATTTTACAGAATCGGGATATCATGTTCAACACTTCAATCCATTCTCTCTTTTGACTGCATCTCATTTCCCCTCATATTACCAAAAAAAAAAAAAAAAATGAGATCACGATCAAACAAATGACGTCATAAAACAGTGCTTATTTACTATGGCAATAGCATACAGTTGTAGCTCTGTGTCTTTCGAATCAACGCGAGGTTGTGTTTCTAGCCAGATGTGTACTAAAAAGCTGTTGATATGTTGGGCATTCTCATTCAGATGTAATCATTGCGATCCTGATAATGATGTGAGACAGGGGCGTGTACACAGGAAGCATCGATTTGTGACCATACTCTAGCTCCCATTCGTACAGGGTAGGTAATCCAGGCCTCGCGCATAATGTACTCTCGAATGTGTGTGCAGTGAACTCAAGCAGTCATGTCAGCTGAGGCAATATTGAATTATTTCGATTATCTCCAGTCGAGGGGGCTGGCCTGAGCATTAGATCTAGAGTGTATAATGAAGGGTTGAATGAATTCAGGGACTTCATTTCTCACTGTGGCAAACCCCATGCCTCGCATGATTGTGTGTGCTTTCGATGAAAATTCGATTTGGTTTGTCAAGGGAAGAATTAGGAAGCGAATGTATCTTGAGTTTCTGTCTGCGCGGACATTTCATTTCATTTCACCGAAATGAAGAAGTGAAATAGGAAGAAAAAAGAAGCAAACTTTATTTTGTACCTTTATTTTCAATGTTGGGGTTGTATTCAACATGTATTTAACATGTTTTGAGGTAATCATTTGCAGGCTAAGGAATCTAACATGAAACTATTTTATCGTACTTGGATAAACGAAAGCAAGGCAATAATTATTATTAGAGAAAAGAAAAGGGAAGTGGAAAGGAATACAAATGAGGAGAAAAAAAAAGAAGAGAGAGAGAGAGAGAGAGAGAGAGAGGGGGGGGGGGTATGTGGTGGAGATGGGTAAACTCGTTCAATTAATTGTGGTAATTAAGACTGTGAGGATTTCGAGTTGACCATATTCAAACATCCAATTTCCTCAAGGAATAATAGTCTGGATTAAGTTTTCCTAAAATGTCATTTTAGGTCGGAAGCATTTTTAATTACTGGGTCTGGATTAGGCGAATATAAATTCATATCAAGTGAAATGACGTTTTTTTTTCGTTGAAGGAAGGTAGATATTATTGTAATCGCGTAGATTATTAATGGAGAAATTAATTATTCTGAAATTTAAAATATTTGGTTCAAATTTAAGTCGATCGAGGACAGAGTTCCTTCGTGCTCCTAACAAAATCAAGAAAGAGAGAGAGAAAAGAGAGAGAGGGAGGGGTGGGGGTGGGGGTGGGGGAGAAAGACTGGAATAAAGAGAGAGAAGAGAGAGAGAGAGAGAGAGAGAGAGAGAGAGAGAGAGAGAGAGAGAGAAACCATCAGAGACAGGTAAACTCTTGGTAGAAGGATGAGATAGAAAGAAATTGTAGAAAAGTTCAGGATAGATGAAGAACAAAAATAGAACGAAGTGGACGACCAACAGGAAACACAAAAACAAGAGAATAACAAAAGTAGACGGGGCAATCGCAGAGATGGAACAGGGGCGCAAGAGATAAAAGACAATATTTATCATGGTAATTACAGAGCACAGATGGTTCACAGATGAAATTGGACGTACGCTGTCTTCATTTAATGCCTCAATCTACCAAAACGGATTCAGCCGATGTTATTTTTGGTCTCTAATCTAGCCGTCTGACGTGATGTTTCAATGAATCCAATCAATTTCATCTCTTATTGTAACAATTTTTTTTATCAGACATCAACTAATAACATCGTTATAAACGAGAGTAAGGGGTACCGCAGACGGGCGGTCATCGGTGAGAGTAACGATGACTGATTGAAGTGGTCATGTTTCCACGGCCAAAATCAATGTACGAACAAGAGTCTATTAACTACTAAAACACACATAACAACATTTTATCTTATTCATTTTTTTAGAAATATAACAAAGGTACCATTTTCACTTTTTGTTCAACCCATGTGCATGATATTATAACTGAAATGCAAAAAAAGGAACACGACGGATTTTCTGTTTCTTTTAATATCAATTTATATAGAAATGTTAATTGATCCGACATTATGGGAAAATGTTTATCCAAAATAAAAGTGAAATAGTATCGTGTAATAGATATTATAGTAAAGTTTAGACCAGTCGGACATGATTGCTGGAAATCGAATACACTGAATTTGGCCGACACGGATTTGTACACGTGGGACAACGTTGCAAATGGAACTCCTACGAGATA